CTAAAAAAGTATATCGTTTGGTAAGTTGAGGATACTGTCAGTTTGGATGTGTCAGAGGGCCATAGTCGATGGTGTTCTTGCACGTGAATGGGGTGACTTGCGCAGCTGCAACGACAAGACAACTTTCAAAAGGCCATTTTCATGTGTGAGGAACTTATCGAGATAGGATACTCCCTCTTAAATCTAACAACATATCTTTGGGCAAGTCACGTTGTCACTCGGTCGGATATGATCTTAGGCGCGGCGAAATAGCCTCGGGGATTGTGGTAGCCTCAGTTGGATGCAGAACTATAGCAGACTAAATCATCCACTAAACTGGAAGACTTTCAGAACACTTATCTCAAATGGATTTTGAGCTGCAGCGAAGAGTGTTGACGTAACCAAAACTGATGACTTTGGCGAGATTTGACCTCAGAGGATTCAAAGGAAATGATCTTGACATCAGTACATTTGCTGAAGAACATGAGTGTTGGTGATTCAAATCCAATATACCCCCACAGTAAGTGCTTCGCAGATTCTGGGGTGCGTGGCCAAGTGGCTGGTCGGAACAACCTCCGTAACTGGGGGTTGCAAAGCTGCAACCTAGGTATATCAAAACAATATTCTCATGGCATGCACGCGACAACATGACGCACCCATCAACTCAAAGTGGACGATGTGTGACATCAAAATAGTTCGAGACAGTACGGTGAACGAAGAACAACAAGCAACGAAGCGAAAAATCAGAAATGCCGATGAACCGAGTTTAGGAAGTCCACGGAAGGCTTCGACATTTCTAAGCCCGGCAGTGGCACACTTCAAGACAGCCGCTCAGTGTTGCTAGAGCGAATGTGGCGCCCGCCCAGCAGACGGAAAGAACAGACGAATAACAGTACTAAATCCTGCAGAGAACAATTCTTAGAACAAGAGATTGAATCAGATGTTGCACCTTTTGGCGAGCGGAAGCGGAAACAACTCGTCCCAGATCTCCAGCGCTTGCTCAGCATAAAACTAATGATTACAATCCACGGGTATTATTGAAGTTAAATCCGCCGCCGCACTAGCCGGATATAGTAATATCTTTCGGTGATTCTCGCGACTGCCCCTGAGCTCGCGACTTCGCGTTTTCAAAGCAAGGGATGCACGTCAAACTCTGTTGGCCGGTACTTCAATTCCCCCATGGCATTTGGCGAGGGTTTGTTTGATGGAATAGGAGAGGATGACGAAGCATATCCTTGGTAGTACGGTGGACGGGGACACATTCTCGCGTATTCCTAAATTGAGCCATATTCTTGGAATAGCATCATAGGAATTGCCTTTGAACTCTCCGTTCCGGTCAGAGGGTCTTCCTGGCGGTTAAATTGGACGTATGGATTTGGAGCGCTGGATACCATCTTGAATGCATCTTGCCAAGTGCCAGATGCCGGCAAAGATCTAATTGGGATCAATTTGCTGCACGAGAGACATGGGGCGCTCTCGTTTAGTGTCGAAAGATACTTCCATCTTCGATCTTTTTTAAAGGCGGGGGATGAGCTGGTATTTCGTGGGAATCGAGCCCTGCAAGATTCTGCCAAGACCATCGATTCTTGCTTCCATTTTGTGCAAACCTTTATGCTTGACAATCAACATGATGCTGGTCCGAGCCGAAGCCACAAGACCACCAGGATCCAGGGCAGCTTGTTAGTGGATGAGCCATCATGAGCCACTGCAACAGAGATGTGGTGCACCGCCAGTCCTTGGCTCGGGGTTCAGACGCTGCCGACCGCCGCTTCTTCTACGAATTTACCCAAAGTCAGGAGATTTCTTGCATCCTCGAAGACCGAGTTCGGCTCCTGTGCTGAATATGGAGGATTTATACACAGACGACCCCCCCCCCCCCCCCCCCACACGCCCCCCCCCCCTGGTCAGACGAATCAAAAGCTTCAGAATCTCTAGCAATTGCGAAGGTATAATAGCTCAAACAGCAATAAAATCACATATCTCCCACGCTCCGGTTAGCAAACCCCCAGAGGGAACCCCGTGCTTCACCTATGCTCTAACCCTAACTAACCTACTAACCCTAACTAAACCTAACTAACCCTAACCTTTAGGAATACACTCGAGAGTTGTACAGGCGTAAGTACTCAAAGTGCCCCGCAAGTAGCATTGATAGTACTTCCCTATTGGTTGCAAGGGGGGGCGTGTAGGGGGGGGGGGGGTCGTCTGTGTATAAATCCTCTGAATATGGTCCAGCTGATGTTGCTGGAAAGGAAATTCAACGGAGATCTGCGGCATATGTTGACGAATCGTTGCGGGAGCTCCCGAATGTCTTTCATACATTTCTCGAAGTGTCTTGTGCTCTGAATAGCGGAGCGGAATATTCTCTTGTGTCCGTGGAATGCCCGTGGCATACGCGGTTTACAAATCGCCGGTGCCCAAATATCGCTTATCAAGCTGAACAAAGACATAACTGATATTGGACAAAGAAGCTGTACAGTTCCACCTGACCCAGGAAACTAAAGAACTTTCTCTTGGGTCTTGGGCCAAGATATCTGATTTAAGGGGTGTTGTTGATGTGCACCGCATCGTAATCTCGTATCATGACGGAGTGTGAGTCCTGCACAACGGGAACGGGATCTCATGTCATCCGGGCCCACGAGGCTTTCGATATCCCTGTGCAAAGCTTTGGGCACATCTTATCACCGATGATCTTTAGATAGGCGTTCTGGAACGATCATGGAAGCGTGCCAAAAGCCGACCCAGAAGCCGCCTAAGATTTTCAACGGAGTAAAATTGTGTAGCTTCACTACTGTGTGGCCAAAAATGAGCCTCATGCTGCATCTCATCATGCATAAGTTCGAAAAGCCACCGACTTCATAGTTTCACAAGACTTTGTTTGGATGAATTAAAGATGTGGACGTGTCCAAATGGGTCCAGATCTAAAAGCAATTCGTGGAACTAACTTTCAAAGCTTCTTTCCATCCTTTTTGGTGACGGCTGCATCATGATGTAAACCTTTACGTCAAATTGACACACAAAACACGATCAACCTAAGCGTACCCGCATGTTTGTGCTCGTCCCAGCACCCTCGCGTTGTTCGTTCTGATCTGTGGATCAAGTGGAATTCCACCAGGATGGTCACGATATCTGCAAGGGCAGGCGAGGCGTGAAGGGTCTTCGCTCAATACCCATCCGGTGCCAATTTCGGGAATCACTTTCTCACTTCATCCCGTCGTAGATTCTCTCTACAAGCACCATCTACGGAAGCCATTACTAAGATGGATGCGCCGTGGGCCGAATTTGATAGTGGTTGTGGTGTCCCTCGGCATGTCAGCCCTGTCCACAAATTTTCTTGATTACCAACCCTCGGGATGAACCTGCAAACATTTCGGTATCAGAGGGAAAGTGAACCAGAAAGACTGAGATGATGTGATACGAGATTACAGAAAGATTAGCAGTACCCATGAATGCTTGACTGTACTTGATGAGTGAGGAATCAACAACATCGTAACTCTTTGTACCGTGCTTGATTGATCCAGGTTACGACCAACAAGTCAGCGTTTTACTGTGCTTACGTGGTCAATGAACTCAAGATTGGTCAGTTCGTTGCGACTGCTCTGTAACTGGTCGAGTAAAATTGTATGATAGTAAACTATGCCTGGCGATATGGGGCTCCAAGCTTAACATATGCGATAGTGCTTAGTACCGCAGATTCTAGGCATCCTGTCGTTCAATCCCACCATTCATCAGAACTTGCTGATTCTGAAACTTGGTGATCGCAATCCAGCCAGTAAATTGGCCCCATAACTTTCTTTGTTATCATCTACTGGGCATCAACGATTCTTGCCCCTCGAGTCATCATCCTGCTTCTCTTTGAGCTACCTGAATAATAAAATCCGCGTCTGGACCCAACAAAGTTCAACCTGCTTAGTAGTGAGCCTCATAAGGTGCCACATACATCACAAGGTTCGAGAACTGGCAGCCTGGCTGCGCTACAACCTTCCTTATCATGTTCCACATGAATTAAGCTCAAATTAGCCAGAGTATGTGCGGCCGGTGGCATTACCCAGGAAATCGAAGGGGGATCAGGTTGGCAAACTTATTTCATGTTAAAAAACAGATCGAGGGTGGTAATGTTATGCGAGTTACATGAGCCACAAGTGGACGAACAATTCGGAATTTCGTGGTGAGTGATTGATTCCCCGAAAACCTTCTCTGAAGCATTCTCAGCGAGAAACTCGTACTACAGCGTCATCGTGGGTGATTAACCCCCAAGGTTAGCCGCAATGGCCCTCCTATGGATTAGTGCCAGTAACCTTGTCCCGCAGTCCACGTCGTCTCTAGGGCTTCGCTTTCTGGCTCTTACTGTACGTGAGGCTTTTTATCCTGGTCCCATGCATAATCTCGGCCTCTAGCCAATACCGACGGATCTTTCATAACTTGTGTCCGAGAAGCATGTTTGGTCCGCCGTACAATCGGTGTAAGACCTTGTCGCGATCCGAGAAGCTAAGCCCAGACATGTCCCCCCAGCCCAAGCAAATGCTCATAGCTCCATAGCCTACTCGAATAATACAAAGGCACGCCCAGCTCCGGTCTCCTTGTTTTCATGATGCTATTGAATTTCAAGTCTCAGATTCTCTTTATATCCGTGGCGCTGTTCCCCCACACTGTTCACACTCTCTCATATCATGAACATATAGCCCATCACAACACTTCTGCACCAGACCCTACTTGACGTGCAGTCATCAACAACAAAGCCGCTCTGGAATTGCTTCCGCTCTCGGATCGATTTCCTATCCTGAAGATAGCTCTTGATCTCCAGGGTCCTGTGAAGTCAGCACTTGACAGACCGTTCCCCTGTCTCAAAGGAGACTTCTCGGATATAACAAGCTACTAAACCAGCCGCCCTTGGATGGGCCCTCTGAATCAGCACAGTCACATGATCAAACCCGACTGTTCAATATCGAGCTTGGATATCCGTTTGAACACTCAAATACTTCAGCCTCCCCACTCCACCACAATTCTTTCGATCCCTTTTCAGTATGTCTAATTCTGGTTTACCTTCCCCGCCATTGGACGACAACAAATCACACCTATCAAGAAAGATGTCGAAGCCTTCCAAGTCACTCAACAGAAGTTCGAAAAGGTCGACTTCATCACACGAACATAGTTCAGTTGTGTTAGATGGACGACATAAAAGAGTTTGGAAGGCATGTGAAAGGTGTCGCATGAAGAAGACCAAGGTATGATATTTGTTTCTGGATATCAGATTGTCCTTGCTGACTTATCAAGTGTGATGGAGAGTCACCATGCAAAAGATGTAAAGACGATGGACTAGTATGTACAGCTGGAAGCAGAAAGAAGACTGAATTCAAGCAATTACCTCGAGGGTGAGTGCCGACTTAGGTGCCAAAAACATGTCCGAGCTAATCACTTAGTGCCAGGTACGCGGAAGTTTTGGAGAACACCCAATACGCCCTGATCGCAACAGTTCAAAAGCTTTACACAATGATCCGCAATGGCGAGCAATGGGATCTAGGGGAACCTGAATTGAATGATAGAGGGCAACCAGTTATTCACGATATCGCCTCCAAGCTGGGTTGCATACGCGCCTCACCAGACCTTCCATACGCTTTCCCTGAAGGAGAACAAGACTTCGCTGAGTTACAAGCACAATTACAATCGGCGAGATCAGAGATGGCATCGGAGGATAATGGAAGCCGCAAGCATTCAGAAGATTCATCGTCATACTCTCCCGGGCTCCAAAGAACAGACCGAGCAAGCAGCAGTGAAAGCGACCACTCAAATTTGTCCAAAGACTACAATCAAATGATGTGGGCGCAGAAACAAGCCGCTGCAAAGATTGCGCCTCGGAAGCCTGCGCCGTTGAACATTGCGCAAAGACCATCATTCGAGGAGGAGCCTATGTACCAGAATCGCCCTTCGTTGGATACCACCAACTCAATGCCTTCGCCCATATATACCGACTACCAGACAGAATCGCCCATGTTCCGCAACGCCTCACCCTTCTCTCCGTGGGCAGGCACAGATGAGTTTCTTGGACCGGCGCATGCACTCGATCTCACGGCACACTACATGAGGCAACAAATACAGATCCCGAGATCATCGCCTCTAGCGAGACAAGGCGGATTCGATGCGGATGCGCTCAAAGTAATGCAGATAAACGACGGATTGAACTTTGCGGATGGAACTATCAGGCCAAACATGCTTGATTGCAATACTGGATACGACATAGATCAGATGGACAGCATCATTTTCACTGGAGACTACGAGGCGCAGATGGGTATGGCGTAACTCCAATGTTTACATCGGAACCCCTTTCTTCTTGGAAAATGGGTGGGCGGCGCGTTTGATTTTGGTTACGAGTTTTCTACTGTCTAATGATTCCCATTCTTGTTCAATGCTATCCTCAACGGGGTGTATCTATAGAGGTCATCACAGGTCCTTCACTCACATGTCGGCCTGTGGATTTGGCGTTCAGGTTGATAGTGGATATTCAGGGCGGACAAACCCTAATTGATGGAACTCAATTCAAACCTTTCCCACTCAAACATTCTCATCTTTAAGTGGTGTCATTCCCAATCTGGACCACTTTACCTGGAAAGTCTATCATGCACCTGAGGCTTTCCTCATTGTCTCGAAGTAGAATAAAGTTAAGTCGGGGCTGGAGCCATTCCTGACCAACCAACCTCCTGATTATACTGTACGGACTACGGACTTTATGCACAGAGTACAGACACAAATCCCACCAATGCCAAGATTTGGCGGCATGCAGAGTAAGTAATCGACACGCAGGCCCCAATCAGTGGTTGCTTACCTACGTACCACTAGTGGCTTTTCTCCAAGACTCATGATTACACACCACGAGCCATAGCAGATGCCAGTCAACGGAGCTCTCCAAGAAGCTCAACGTTTGGATCGGTAGGGAGTCAAGTTCGGTAGAGCATTACCGACTCAACCTTGTCAGAACGAACGAGTGTGACAGGATACTGAATAGGCAGACTCAATTCCCGGCTACTCGCCACCTGTCTGAACTTTCGAATGCCGTTTATCCAAACAGATCATGATATCCCCGCCCGTTTGCTTTACAGCCGAGGAGCATTTCAAAAACTCTGCTTCAGACCATTCCCCACCCCTCATGTGTGAAGCTCTCCCGCAGGTTGTGGAATGTAACTAAACCTCCGCCGTACTACTGATATCCGCCTTCGGCCGAACTCAGCATCTGAGTAATTGAGCACGAAGAATACCGCGGCCCCAGGATTCTTTCCCCTTAATCTGGCGAACTTAAGTTTTTCTTCTCGGCCATGGAAGAGGCCAGCCTGCTGCCTGAATTAAGCACATTAATCCAACACCACATTTTGATCCGATAGAGTATTCTTCGCGTCTCAGCAGGGATGTGTGATTTGCTGATGGTGGGTGGAGCGCAGGAGGGAGAGGGATTCGACAGGTACGAAGTACGGAGGAGAAGTCCGCTCGGATAGCCAGGTCAAACCGAGCCCGAACCCACAGCAGGTAGCCCGACACGGCGGAAGGTTTTCGCACATCCCTCGAGCTACCCATGCAAGCCAAGCTGAACGTTGACCTTTAAATCTTTGAATGGCAGCTTTGGATTCGTTCGGCCGCTTGCTGGCTTCCCTTTGGCGTTTTGGGGGCGCCTTGTCTGGATATCAATTGGGAAACTTACAGACGGGACACATGTCATGACATGGAATCACCAGCGTGGCTGGGTACGGTAGGGAGGATTTTCATCTTGTGAAATTACGAAATGGTCCCAAAGTGGATGGACATCTTGACTGCAAATTGACGATCATGCGCCGCTGTCAGCATACGGGATTGGAATGATGTTTGGCTGTAAGTGCGAGTACACGGCGTAGCTTAGCTGGCGCCGCAAGGCTGCGGCGTCCATAGCCTTTGGGACGAAATATTAGGAGCAGTTTCAGGGCTGATGACTGTATTTTTGGTGTCGCAGATAGCCTAGACTTGTGACATAGCGGGGTATCCAACTTCTTTTGATCGAGGGCTCACTTCGTCAACTCAGCCCATTATTTGGGGGAAATCATATCAGATTACTACGATCGTTGTCTGATGCCTCCTAATGGACAAGCTTATTCGTCAACTTATAGATGCGCTCTCGATGCCTTCTTGAGTCGGCGCCGTTTGCACCCAGCAGTGGGCACGATACCCACTATCGCAGCGCCACTTAGAGATCCCGCCTCGGAGGTTTTAGTAAGCCGAGTACTTTTGAGGTGGCTTTTTCAAAACGTGCTCGTAGCTGTGTATTCCTATTTGGAAAGTAGTCGGACTCAAAACCTTCATCTAGGCAATGCTACTCTCTGTGGAATCAGCATGTTGCAGGTAAGTGGTTCGCTGTAATCAGAATATGTGCGCTGTACCCCTCGCTTATTTCGAGGTAGGTGAAGCTTTGGCGTTGCATACATGTCCTGCTCGTTGGGATATGGATATGCATGTATGTAGAGGATCTCTATGTTACTGGTCAATATCTGCTATTTTTCTACAGACTGCCGAGGTCAATCCAACTTGGCTTAGATGTTCACGTAAGACGGTCATGACTGAGCCATTTGTTGAGGCTTCCATATCGCGTATCTCTGATAGGTTTGTTGGTTTTCCTAAATAATAGAATCTCTTCATTTACCGCAAGCATCGAACTGTGGAATAGACATGAGATCTTTGTCCAATAGCTTGAGCACTGTTCCACGAGCTTAGGTGTTATGAGCTTGAGCATCATGGAAGAAGATTTGTATCGATCTGTAGTGTGGTCGTGAGGCAAATACAGGGCCCTTTAAGCTTAAATTCCGCAGTTGCGCCTCCCACGGCCAAATGCGGCAGGTGTTTTGGTGGTAGCACACCCAAAATCAAGGGACTGATCATTCTGACCACCGCCTCTATGGTCTCGGAGTCACTTCCGGTATGTGTCTGTCAAATCCCCCGCCAGTAGTTTGCCATCACAGCTCTCGGGAAGTAAGGAGCTTTTACTCTGGAGTGGGGTCAGCCAGGAGTAGCTTGGCAGCATCCCTCTCCGAACTTCCCGAACAAATTTTGGATATATAAAGACGCCGCAAGACATGTACTTCTAACATTCCTTCGAACTTGAACTGGATACCAGGATGTACGCGTCATTGCGAAGTGTTACATCGGATCCAGAAGACCTGGGCAGCTCAGCCTCGGACTCATCGTATACGCTAAATCGACCAATGCAAATGGATCGGATACGGCGAAAAAGTTCCTTTCGTGGGCACCAAGAGAAAAAGATGTTTGGCTGAAGCTGGGAGGGTGTTATCGGCGGTTGGCATTACACCAAAATCGTGTTCGGACCCGTTTTCGCATCCGGTTAATAAGATTGGCGATATACGGCGCTGCGAGATGTGGGCGGCACTACGGTCGACTTCTTGACAACGAAGGACAAATTGGAGGCTTAAGGCTTGGGTGAATTGTGCCTGTCGTATGATGATCAGATGATGAGCTTGGAAATCTCGATTGCATGTGGACAAGCCTTGGGTGGTGCGGTTTTAGGACTTTGAACGCTGGGCCGTCCCGTTTGATGGGGGTTGCGGGCTCCTGGTGAACGCCGACTCGCTTGGAACTGGATGCCGAGAGGATTTTGTTGGAAGCCCGAGGCGCGAACACCTTGGGATGATGAAAAGTTTGACACCTTTCAAAAGCTGTGAGAGACTTCCTGCAGTTCCCAAGGTCAAGACCATCCAAGGAACATACCCAAGATGCATCCAGTTAAGTACATGCAGTTCATGCCAACTATTTCTTCGCGACATGCACTTCCAAAGTATGGACTCTTTTCGCTTGGCTGAATTCCAAAGTATGCTGTCATTTAGCTGTCTTGAAATTCTCCGATCAATTATTGGCCGTGCAGCAAAAGTTTGTTGCATGATGGTAGGGGACTGAAGCTCTTCCAAAGTTCGCTGTCGCAATTATCTACCTTCTGTCGATCTTAACATGGTCGAATGATTGGCTCTTGATCAATCTTACAGTCATGGGTTACTTGAGAATTCGCCTGCCTCGACATGCAAGAAGTGGTTGGTTTAACTTGGTTAAACTCTGAAGGGCAAAAAAGTCAACATGACATGATTTTCTGAGCTACATACCCGCCCTGAGTTTTAATTCATAATCTTCCAACGTAACATTTGTGTGGTTGATTTCATGGCATTAAGAACACACGCATCAAGACATGTGTCAAATTTGTCAGGAAATCGCGCCAGACTGCCGAACAAACTCCACTTGAAATATCAAGTCAGTCGCCTTAGTCGGGTAGTTGACTTGGTTTCCACCAGCTTTGAAGACACTTCAGTTCTTGCAGCTTCGTAATCTATGACGATGTATTCCAAGGCATAGTCAAGTTATTTAATTCCTTTTTTGTTCTGGATTACAATCGAGACATTGCCACGTTGTGCATCTAGGTTAAGATTTCAAGATTTAATGTTGGTGGCTGTGCAAGCATGGCAGACCTTGCCAAAGTCCTGCAATGTTGCGCTGTCTGTTTGCTAGGCTATCCACTCTGGACTTGTAACTTTCCGTTGCAGATCATATATTATTGGAGTTGGATAAATACATTACTTTTGATTGCTACATAGCACATCTCCTTACCTCTCTCTCACTATGGGTGGCAATTCTGGACTCGATGTGCCCATGTATAGTTTCATTCTTGGGCATATGTAACGATGCAGGGAGCTTCCGTTCTCGTTAGGAATTTCCCGCCTACTCAAAATAGCCAGCTTCAAGTGTGTTTGATACCTGGTCCTAGCCGAGTGATGCGACAAAGTTATGCTGCACACTTCTCCATGGCTTTACAGATGGCTCCCCGCTTTCAGCACCGGAAAGTTGAAGAATGCCTTGAATCTATGGAAAACTGACTGCGATCAAGTAAAGAGGGTGGCCGCCGATTTCCGAACCCTAGCTTTTCTGGAAAGTTAAATACTTAGTTCTATAAATAAACAGAATCGCTAGATTTTAACAGTAGATATCTTAATTATGGCTTCAATTTTACTTATTTAATTGGAAGATTGTTGTTTAGTCAATTAATTAGAAAAGAAATAAAGTTTGATAGGACTTTTAAAAGCAGAAGAGGCTAAGATCAACAATTCAAGTCTCTAGTTTTATAAACTAAGGTACAAAGTCTCATAGCAACAGAATAGCAGCAGGCGTCAAACCTTCGAGGGTTCGGAAATCTGTGGCCACCCTCTTTACTACAATATGCACGCAGCATGCAGCAAGGTCCAGCTCTCAGGATGCGATGATCGCTCCGTGCTGGAGGTCGCTGTCCTATGGACAGTGACGCTCTTCTGGTTCCGGATACAAGGCTAAGAAATTATTGATGCTTTGCGAAAAATGCCATTACTCTATGAAGTTAGGCGGCGAAAATTTTATTGCTAAAACTTTCCTGTAATAACGGTACGAGTGAGTACAAGAAGCGAACCGGACGAGGAACGGCTAGCCCGGCTGAACATGCTGCTCCAGGATGCATCTGGTAGCCACAATTACCTTATTCGCAGCGCATTGAAATTCCTACAACTCCTTCTTGATAACCATTAGAAAAGGCATACATCAAGGAACGCCGGTGATATCATGTGAGTAACAATTAGAGCATGGCTTTCGCTTCCGTTCTTGTTTACTTGCATACCAAGCTAAGCGAGTTGGCGTCGAGGAGCGAAGGGACTTCATGCAACGAACGCCATTGTGAAAGTCCCACCTTCTCTTACATTATACAACAAGCAGGTTTCTGTTTTTGTTATTATTTTATCAAGTTTTGAGTTCATCTGTATTCAATACTGTTGAGATCTGGCAGGACTTCGCCCCAGCTCGACCCCGCACGAACCGCAAAACATTGACTCTTTGAAGATAATTGGAAAGCAATAACAGGCCGTAATACCTCCTAACTGACTTTTCACATCAGTCAATATCACAATATGAAAGCTATTAAGCAGAAGAATGCAACGAAATTGAGAAGGATAAAATCTTCGGATTTACTACAGGTGAGGTAGAACACCAAACGAAGAAGCCTTCATCTAATTTACTCGCCTGTTAGAACGAAAGATAGAGCAGTATGAGCCAAAAAAAAGAAAAAAAAAAAAAAAAAAAAAAAGGGCAAATGACAATCAAAAATGAAATGCCAAAGAGGGCTTTTCGGTTGGAATGGTGGGAAGGGCCAGATGAGGTGTTCCTTCCAAGTTTGAAACTGAACCTAGGTCACCTTCCCTTCAGCAGGCCAGAATTCTGTGTACGTAGACTCGTGTTCCAGAACATTGCTTATCAGACTGATGGAAGCAGGGAAAGAACGATTTTGAGAAATAATTCGTGTGACACGTGCTGTTATTCTGTCAAGTCTTCTTCGTCCTTCGAATAGCAATCATTCATACAACATAACGCCTCATCAGTTACATAAGTTTCATCGAATCATATCATACTCGGAATAACCATTCAATCGTTTCGTCCAAAAGCTACAGGGAGCTCCATCCCCATTATCGGCCTTTGTTCCCAAGGCACGACCATCGTGTTCGAAGCACTCCACCCCACGCCGAATTCCGCTTGGATATTACCATTGCCAAACCGGATCCTCAAGAACAGGGACTCTCGTGCTGTTCGATGAATCGGCTTCTGCTCATTTATCCTATCTGTTCTCACCTTAATCCCCAATCCAAATAAACAATGGCTCAGCACCGACGACGTCTCAGAAATCTCTGGACCAGAATCACCAGTAAACTGCATCGCAGAGCTCCAAATTCAGTCAACGACATTCCCGATCAACAGCTCCCAGATCACGTCGAACCAACTTCAAACCAATCTCAAAACGTACAGCAATCCAACAACAACAACAGAAACGATCCCCAAGAGCTCACATCAGTTGTGAACAAACCAAACCATACCAGTACGAGCCCTGACGCTGTTCCTGGCTTTCCTCCACCCCGAAGTGGTCCAACAGGGGGCAACCACCCTCTATCACCCTTCAGCGCCGTCCCCATAGACGGACACACACACTTCCACTGCTCCCGCTGCTCCATCATGATCAACTACGACATCTGGAACATCTGCGCGAAAAACAGTCACCTCAACCATGTCCCTCGCCCAGGACCTTGCAATCACTGCGTGCAAGCGGGCGAAGAAGTCAAGACATCTTGCAAGACTATCAGATGCGAGAGATGCATTGGAGAGCAGGGAATGGCGAGTATATTGAAAGTGCGAGATCAAGCGTTGGTGGAGATGGGGTATGTCAGGCGGTTGAATGGAGTGTGGGAATTGCCCGGGTATCCGGGGAAGTGGGGGAGGGCGCCGTGGGATTTGGTGAGGTGTGGATTTTGTACGGATAAGAAGCTGTTTCCGCAGCGTGTGAACTTGGATGCGAGGTACAAAGAGCTGTGATGGATGGCTGACCTTCGAGATGTGGTATGAGTGCGTGAAATGAGATGTCTAGAAGTGGAGGGAGATCGTGCGGAGAGAAGCGAGGATGATCGGTGAAAGGAAACTTCTGTATCAGCGAGCTGAGTCTTGTACACAGCAAAGATTTGAATATTGAACAGCGAACAGGAAATATAAATACCACAAAATGAGGAATTAAATCAAAGCAAAGCAAAGCAAAGCAATATATTGTTCACAACGTGCCCACACCCAAGACCAAAACACAGAACTCATACCCTTACTCACTACCATAGCTAACTCTCCGTGAACACCCCAACCAGATCCTCACTCAAAGGACCAAACTCCCCTCGTCCCCATCGTCAGACTCACGCCCAGCATCAATGACCTCATACTCCTCATTGCTACTCACCACATCCCAGCCCTCACTCTCACCCTCGCTTGAGCCGTCTAGCTCCTCGTTTGGCGGGTGAGTGAGCTCACCTCGCTCAACCAAGTCACAACTTGCCGATTCACTTGCATCGGCAGTGGAAGTCTCGAGCTCAGTATCACTGGCAGTGGCAAGGATGACTGAATCATCGAGATTTGAGTCCTGGACATCGCTGGTACTGTGTGCTTTTAATTTTTCGGTGGCGAGATAGAGGATTGTTGAAGTGGCGAGTCCGTTGAGGGAGGGATCATCCACATCCCCATTCTCATCCTCAATTTCATCCTCATCCTCATCTTCATTCTCGTCCTTGTATTCAGTACAAGTGGCCTTAAATGTAGCTACACGATGTCAGCGATCTTTCTTCAGTTTTTCAAGAGGGGAAATCGCAGAAATCTGAAGTACTCACTAAGTTCATCAGTAGACTCAGAAGATTGCATGCCGCCGCTAATGTATAGACACTCCAGTCCTTTTCCTTTGCAAACCAAGCACCCGGGTCTTGTTCCATCACAGGTTGTTTCCGAGAGACGACAGCTGCCGCAGGCACGAGGTGGTGGTGGAGGTTGGATTTTAGGGGTTGTGGAGGTAGGAGATGGGACAGGAGCGGTTTCTGGGTCTGCTTCTGGCTTGGGAGCTGCTTCTTTTGCTTCGTGGATAAGTTAGCTTCAATCTCACATCCAGATAGAGATTCGCTCCGGTTATGCTCTACAAGAGATAGAAGGGCTAAAGGAACGGGGGGAGAAATGAGAAGAGGGAACATACCATGCACGCCTTTGCTCTCGCCAGCCACAGTACCCTTGATGTACAAACACTCTACTCCTCTCTCCTCACATGCACCACATCCAGGCTTACCCTCATCACAATCCAACCCCGCAAATCGACAACCACCACACGCCGTAGCGGCTTTCTCGTCCCATCCGGACTTCAGGTGGTACGCACAAACCGTGTCGTCGAAACAAGCTAGGCAAGGAGTTGCTGTTGCTAATGTTGGCTGTTGAGCATCGGAGTTGGTAGTCGTAGCATGCTTGGAGCGGATGCTTGGGGGTCGGTAAGGTTTTATGGAGGATGTTGGATGAGGATTGGAAGGCGAAGTGGGTTCGAGGTGTGTTGAGCATGGGATTAGCTTGTCGAGGCAGGCGAGGCAGGGAGTTGTGAAGCCCGGGAGAGGACTGGTAGTTGTTTCTTCTGATGGAAGGACGGGTGGAAGTTGGATGAGAACCTGCTTTGGTAGTCGCGATTTAGCTTCAGGGTTAACTTTCGGGATGACTTCTGGCTGAGGCTGTTGTTGTGGGGTATGGCCTAAGCGAATATCCTCAAGTCTGGTCTCCAACGAAGCTAGGAAACGCGGAAGTTCGGACTTTGATTCTTCGATTTGCGTGGTTGAAGCTACTGTATTTGATATGGGCGTAGTTGCTGATAAAGCTGTACTCATTTGGTTTTCTTCGAGGCGTGCTTTAGCATCACAAGGTCCGCAGAGGCCGGAGATTTGAATCTTGACGTTGACTTCACGGCAGGCGAAACATGTACGTGGCACCTCGTCAACTGTAGATACAAAGCATCATTAATCAGAATCTATGCAGTGAATTGAGGTGGTTTGAGAGGTGTAGATGACTTACAGCGGACAGGTTCGGTTCTCCGCGGATTAGTCAAGTATTGATAGCTGCATCTCTTCTCTGTATTCTTGCACTGAGTGCAAGTAGGTAGCGCATGATCACAGAGAAAGCTGTTCGTTTGACAGCTGATGCAGGGTTGGAATGCCCATTTCGTTGGAGTTGGAGGTTTCCAGGATAAGTCGGGATAGAGCTCTGCGAACCAGTCGCTGCTGTCCAGTTCCGCACTGGACTCTGGCTGGGAAGCGGAGGCTATGGACTCTAGTCATGCTGTGAGCGAGCTTGCATTAACCTCAGTGACGGAAATCTTTACCTTTAACCTGCTCTGCCAATTGCCTACGTTTGCGTTCATTCTCCCTGAAATTTTGCTTCAGAGCTACAGATCGCAGCAAAGATTCCTTGCATACGCTACAATAGATTTCAGTAGCTTCCGGATCCAGCTTACGGTCAAAGCATCCGGCACATGTATTCAAAACCTTCCTCCCATCTATTGTCTCATGAGAAATTTGAATCTGTACATTGAGTATGGGACTTACCTGATTCAAGGACAACCTGTAAAATATTGGGGGCACGCCCTGAAGGAGAATATGCTTGCACGGTCCTCACCATGACATCTGTACAACGCGGACAGGTGACATCCTCCGCGGTGCTGAGCTTTTCACCACAGCCTCGACATTTGACAGCACCAAAGTGCATCGAAGACTCTGGAGTAGTATCTCCCTCACCTCGAAGTAAGCTCGATGCATCATCTTCATTCTCATCTTCACCCTCACTAACCGAGCGGGTGTCCTTCAGTTCAGGTTTGTACAAGACAATACACTCCCCATCACAACAGAACAGACATTTATCACACCAATCTGGATTCGTCGCACATTTCCTCCTCGTCGCTTCACAGTACATGCACCATGTCACCATCCCTCTCCGTCTCGAAGTCCCATCTGAGTCGAGATCACACGCGCCACCCATGAGTAAGCACCGGAGACACGCCCTGTCTCCCTGCAGTACGTTACAGTCGTTCAGGCCTTGGAGGTGGCAGAACTGGCATGCAGTGCGTGGGACTGGAATGTGGGTGTCTGAATGCTCCGATGTGAGGTTTGCAGGTGCGGATGAGAGGACGGATGAGTCCACACCGCTGCTTATATGGAACACACTGCCATTGTTATGGCCGTCAGGATCTGAGTGATGGAGGTTGTATTGCGCACGTGTGTATTCCGTGATGTTTTGTTCCTGTGTTTGTTGGATGGTTTGCGCAAGGCTGGAGTTGCTGCCTAAAGAAGACACCTGGGAGTCCTGGGAAAGCGAATCTCTTAAATCCATGACGTCTCTCTTCACAAAGGCCAAATTGAAAATAAAGTTGCGCTTCTTCTCTTGCAAGAGCAGCCGATAGTCACATCGGGGTTCTGTGGATCTTTAATCCAGAAGGGTTTTGTAGAACGTAGAGATAAGGTTGCGGTCGGCGGAGGTGATGCGGGGTCATGGGAGCTGTGAAGCTGACAGCCGTCCTGTTGCCTGTGAGCTGCAGTGTAGCGAAATATCCCTGTCTTCTCGCGTCAGCCGCTTAGTACGATGAGATAACTGTAGGTGTCCTTTGATTTGGTGGGTAATAGGCTGGGCTTGATAGGTGTTGGATTTGACAGGTCGGTTAAAGGCTGTGGGGATTGCAAAGTTTAGGCAGTCGGCTTGGGGTTGATTCTGATGAGTAGTGAGTTCCAGGTTGTTGACAGCTCGAGACCTTTCAGAGAGCCGGATTGACATTAAGTCTGAAATGACGACTGCATCGGCAGAAGTTAAGCTTAGGAATGGTAGAACATAAGCAGTCTCTGGGAGAAGTAAATTACACCCTGTTGATACCGACTTCATTCACCATACCAGAGTGATTAGTCTTCGGCTCAAGCAACTTTTGTAGGATATTCTTTGGATCAGCCAAAGGCCAAGTACATAATATTACATAGCAACCCGCTGATACCACCCAAATCATGGACCACACTGTCCATACTTATCCGTAAAATCCGAAACATGCTCTCCAGGCCCAATCATAATCCTCCTAAAGTTAGGATCCCAGAGCTTGAGACCATTCGGTCGACTATCACGAAATCGTCAGAACTGTTCCCTTCACATCAAAGCTCGAAAACCTCTTACAACACTTCAAGCACAGATGACCCAGCTCGCTGAAGCTAAGTTGACCTGTGCCATCTTATTGCCCATACTTGTCAAGAAACTGCGAAGTATATGTCCCTCGCTCACACAGAATACGGATGTGGTTCGGATCGACGAACTTCAGACCATTGGGTCGACTGGAGAAGGCGATTAGATATGCGGTTTGCCATATATATTTCGAAAGCAGAGCAGAGAGAACTGAACTTCCAACACAACTGATTCCAGATGAGAATGATCACTGTCCATATTCATCAAGGAATGATGCAGGGTTCTGCCCCCGAATGATCTTGATACGCATATGGTGTGGATCCCGGAGTGCTAGACCATCTGGTCGACTGTTGGGAGCGGTCAGAATGAGATGAGAACAGAGGCAAATCACAGCCAGCTCACTTCAGCTGAGCTTGAAAATCCTACTGCCCGTTCCCATTAAGAAAGTCGGCCGGCTTCTTCCCGACTTTTACCCACATACGGGTGTGGCTGGGATCTCGGAAAGGGAGACCACTCAGTCAACCGTAAAGGTTTGGTGATAACCGCACACGAAAGCAGATATGGCATAGAACAAGTACAAGCAAGACAACCAAAATCACGCAACAGGAAGGGTAACAAGCCACACAATACGAAATCCACAAAACTCACTCCTCTTCCACCTTCAGCCTCCCAGCAGTCTTCTTCTTCCCCTCCCAAATCCTCTTCTTCTCAAAGAAGATATACGCAGCAGGATATACGGGACTCTCCGCGCCTCCCATCATCTTCTTCGCGCCGAGGAACGTATCCAGCGTCTTGGGCGTACATCCAATGGCGCGCACGAAACTCGCTTTCGTGAAGGGTTTCAGGGTTCCGTCTTTTTTGGGTTCGGCCGGGTTGCCGTTCTCGGGTTTCTTGTTGGATTTCCCTAGGAGGTCGTTGATTTTGTGCCGGATCGTGGAGCAGGTGTCGTGCATGGGGACCGAGGAGGTGCTTTCGCCGGGGAGGGTGAGGTCGAGGAAGGTGGATGCGCTGGGGTCGTGGGGGTGAGTCGTATCATTGCTGCCCGGGCGTTTGGGTGGGGAGGGTTTGGAGGTCGCGGGTTTTTGCTTTTTGGGGGTGGGTTTGGTGGATGGGGATTGCTTGTCTGCTTCTACGGTTCCAGTTGGGACGATGTCTTCGGAGGAGGGGTTCTCGATGGATGTGGGCCCTGCTTTCTTGCTTTTCGACGTCGTCTTCGTTTTGGGAGGGATGTTGACCGATGAAGACGGCTTATCTGCGAGTGCTTTTTTCGTTGCAGGTTTAGCAGAGGCTTTCTTCGCAGACGACTTCGAAGGAGAAGGTTTGGACGTGGTCTTCGTGGTGGAGCTGGTGGATCTCGGTGTATCGCCTGGTCTGATAGCAGGATACGGCGCAGGGCGAGCTCCTGAAGTGCGTCGTGCGGCTTTAGGCATGATGAGTGGTTTGGTGTTAGACTGGAAAGGATTGGGATGACTTTGTACGATTGATTGTTGGGGAAGAAGGGGGTGGGGAGAAATGTGGGATTTATGCGTTTGTGCTGGGCCCAAGTCGCGTCGAGATTGAAATGTTTACGCGATTGTCAACACAGACGTCACCACCTGTGATGTCATGGCGATCTTCGGGGTCAAATTTCCGAGCTACATTATCAGAATCAAAACTTTTCCGACTTCTTGCATTTCTGTATTCAACAAGCAGTATTCTGGAACGATATTGGTTGCGAGCACTCAAGTGGGTGGTTTCGTTCTAACCTGGTACATGGCGGGCCTGGTGAGCAAAGTGTACAAAGATAGCCGACTCAGCAGCCACTTTCGGTTCCCCTTCCAGTTTTCTATCTATTGCAAGATCTTGCTATGCTTCGAACAGTTAATTTTCTTTCCAATTGTCCCAAGAATTATATGCTTAGATCGCCAAAGAAACGGTTTAGTCGCAGAATTCTTTCTATCCAATTTATCTCACCAATGATCCCCTACAAGCTCCAAGACGTTTCATCCACTTCCATTTAGCTTGGAGTTCACCACCTCTTCCAGAGCTGCCCAGGCTTCTTCAACCACCGCTATCTCAGGATCACCAACATAGCGCGGCTCATCAAACGCATGCTTCGCATTTTTCGCAACAAATAATTTCGCAGGAGTCGGTCCTATCCACAGTTAACTTGGACCGTACAGAACACAAAGGTCTAATCACAACGCAGAAGTGCACAAATCGACTTACCAACGACCTTCGTTAGATTAACAGAAGCTTGCAAAGGAACCGGATAATCCGCATCTCCATGCACCACAATCGTCGGTACGAAATCCTTCCAACTCGGATCATCGAGGCTTCGATCTACACCCTCCATAAACGACGAAAACATCTTCTCCTGCAGAAACCACGGCAAAACTTGCTGTCTAGCATGCGTAGGATGGTCTTCTTCTCTAGCAGGCAAAACGAAATCCGGATTCCGACTTAGATCAGACAGCAGAGATTTCGGATGGAACGCCGCTGCCGCAGGAGTACTCCCGACGCTGACGGGCTCATCGAGGAAATGCTGTATGTCAGCTTGAAGAATCTTGGGTTTTGACGGGTCTAGTTTCCGCTTGAATGTCTCGTCGGAAGTGGTGGTTACGCCATAGTAGCTGAGTATAGCTATCGGACGATGTTCTTTGAAGTGGCCGCAGAGATAGGCCAGGTATCCGCCTTGAGATTTCGCATTAGCATCCCATGACTATATCATTGATATCGGGACTCATCAGGGAGATTTACCAGCACTTTGTCCTACAACAATAACATTCTCGAACGGCGGCAGCTTCTCTTCCGTGCCGGCCAGAATTCCCGGGAGGTCTTCTCTGACAAAGGAATATGCATCCTGGATATCTTCCAGCATTTCTTTACCGCTGATCTGTGGCAGCTTGCGGTAATCGGTACTGACCAGTGGCCATCCACGCTTGAGAGCAGATTGTACAATGCTTGGACCAAGATGAGAGCGGTCGAATGCAACGAAGCCTCCGCCGTGGATGAAGAGGACTACTGGTGAACTTGGAGTGTATTTCACGCTGCCGGCATCTGAGGATCTGGTATAGACATCGACTTTTATGTCGACTGAACCGACGGTCTTGAATGTGTGAGTAGTTTTTGTGGCCATCGCGAGGTAGTGCTGGAACAATAGGGGTGTATGCACTGTAACTTGGTAAGTGGAGGAGAAGGTTTCTTATGTGCTCTTCTTATGTGAGGGCAGTTTTCAATGACAGCGAATTTTGACTTGAGGCCGTAATTTTGGAACCGGTGGAACTGGTATTTACCAAACTTCGGCTATGACAGTTTGGTCGGTCTACTCAAGGACACGCCATGATGACAGCATGGTACCAATCACGTGAGGCTACCATCATCCTACGCAGAGCAAAGACAACGTATTCAATACTAACAGACTATGGAACTCTACAGCCCTAACCGTCACGAGCATTATTTATTCTCAGAAACAGACAGACAATCAAATTACTATCTTCGTCGCCTCTCTGAATATTCTCACTTGAGCATCACGTGCAGGTAAATCGCCAAAAGCAACCTTCGAGTCGACATGCGACGCGCAACAAAACGGCAACTCGTGGCATCGCGACGTGCAACAGATCGCCCGGCCCCAAGACACTTGCGAGCGCTAGCCAATGATGGCCGGAATCCGCGTGGTGTGGCTGAGTTCCGACCCCACCTTTATTCTATTCTTGGCGACAGTGGAAAGTCTGTTTTTGTTCTTGGAATATTATTGGGGGCTGGGAATGTGAAGAACAGGCGGAGGGTTGGAATATCTTTATCTTGGGATTTGGTTAATTATGAGATGGATATTGGGGTTTGCGGTTACGTGCGTGCTGGTGCAGGTTGGCTTGCCGGATTTTATTTGTGGTTCAGAACATGGCCGGGCGGGCACCGCTTGCCGTTCTAGAATTCTGATCCCGTGCCCGCCCCCACGCCTGCCTGCATTTCCATTCACCTGACTTCCAAGTTCGTCCCTCGGCTGAGGGCTCAGCCTTCTCTTCTAAGTATCCCAAGCCAAGCGAGGACTTTGTAAACATCAGGAAATCTACTGTGTTGCGCTTTGAAGCATACCCCGTCTTCAAATTGTCACGACTCTGTGCAACCTCACATTGCTCAAGTGACTAGTCTTGGCATCGCATTTCTCTCAACCTTTTGTTGCATTTCGACAAAGGGCCGGGCCAGTGAAGTGCGCCGGAAAGGGCCGCACCCCGCATGAGTTGGCCGGTCAGGAGGCCTGGCTGCGGGGGTAGCTGGCCGAATCTGCATGTCATATTGAGAAGTTACTGTTTCGTATTTTGAGTTTATTTTGTCATGGATAGCTGAATGGAAGAGATGTGAGACCACTATAATTTGTATACCAAGCGGGGCAGGAAACATCCCGTGAGTGTTTGGCTCTGTTGTTCCTGTATGTCGCTTAAGTGAATCTGCTTCCAGGGACCTTATTGAGCCGAGCGCCAATTGCTGATAAGAACCGACATACAATCAAAGGATAGCATCGTATTCGGATAGTAATTCTCTCTTTAATGTTCAAGAAAAGGCCCATGGTCGCCATGAATGCTCGGAGTATCAACATGATCTCTCTGCAACGATCGAGCGTCAGGCAGATTTCATGATATTCGGATAAGAAAGAGTCGCGTGAGCAAAGTACAAGCACACTGACAGTAAATGAGAGAGTGACAGCAAGGGGAAGACACTGTTATGAGATCTACACTCACTTAGTATGGTGGGGTCGTGATGAAAGACACTTTTGGCCTGTCCAGAACCCGTACCTCGAAGCAACTTAATTCTAGCACCACCCATGTTCAGCTTTGGATCGAATACTTTTATCTCAAGTTCTCAAATCTTCGTGAAATTTCATTTCATACTGTCATATTCTCCATCTGGCGAAGGGCAAGCTTAGCCTTTTTAAGGTGAGGGCATTCACTCTCTGACGCTCACTCACCCCGCCATCCTGCAATGTGGCTGTGGCCCTCATATTCCTATATTTAAACTGTTCTTTACAAATTGATCTCAGCTCAGAATTTCCACAGATGCTCGAAAAGCTGAACACGCTGTCAATGACTGGAATTAGAAGCTGGGAAGCACCTTTTTGAAAAATACAGGACTACTCCTTTCTGAAAATCCCGATTTGCACTTACCATCATTGTAAGATTACTAAACCTACCTACTCTTGAAGTCTCCAATCAAGATTAGCTTGCCGCAACTTCGACAACAACAACAACAAGCCAATTGACAACATAAGCAAAATAGCAAACACAACCCTTGTACAACAAGACTTCGTTTCTTAGCTCTAGAGAACATGCATCTAGCTCAATCCAATCTCCAGTGAAGGCATAATCTTTGAATTGAGGAACACTTTGGCTCAAAGAGTGTAATGTTCTCCTCATCTTAAGAAGAGAGCACGACAATGCAAGAAATTACTCACGTGTCCTTGATCCGGTCTCCAATTCTTCGCTCCGTAGGTCGAACCGGATATGCCACGTGCTGCGGACTTTCTCTACAAGTGGTTCACGCTTTATGGGAAAGGATCCATGGCTAGCTGCGAACTTGGAGATAGCGCCCAAATAGACATCGTGATTGCTGTAGGGGAGGTATGTGAAAACGTTCTGCTCGGTCCATGACTTTGTCTTTCGTCCTTCATTGTAGCCCCATTGTTCGCGGGCTATGCCGGCAAGATTTCCGCCTTCTTTGGAACTGAGGAGGAGGCTAAAACGGAGCCTTGTTGTGTCTGGCGGTATGTGGATAAGATTGCGAACGCGATCTGGTTCGGAAGCCTAGGGTTCAGGCTTGGGTTCTGGCTCAGAATTCAATGGAGATGTGCGTGCAGGGTTGCGAAAGGGAGCTGGTTGTGAAACTAGAAGCCCGGGCTCGGGCTCTGGCCGAGATGATGGAGGGGTTGGCGTGGGTGCTGGACTTTGCACGTCAGGGCGAAATTGGACAGTACTTGCAGACTTATAATAGAGGATACGGGGCTCTGGATCTCGTGTCGAGTCTTGGATTCTTCGAATCTTGAATGGGAGGTTATAAGGTGCCGCTTTGTACACTGTTTTTGTAATTTTGACAGGCAGGTCTTTTCTACACGTCACAACGATTAGCTCAAATGCTCATTGGACTTCAAATCTTCTGAAGAATACCGGCAGAAACATGGCCGTAAGGGGGAAAAGAATGAGGAGAAACGGTACTTCTGCTGTGCATCAATCCTTTTCTTGGGATTATCCAGATTCCAATATGTCGACCCAAAGGCTGCTCGCTTCGTAGCATGTTTCTTAATCTGAAAACCAGCATCCCGTCCACTTACTCCCTGATCATGTTCAACACTGGTCTCTTCTCCAATCTCCAATTGCTTGGTGTTCACGCCAGGGCCACCACTTCGAGTTATTCGAGCTCCACTCGTAGATCCCCGGACCTGTCCTTCACGCAACCGACCACGCTCACCTCCAGGAGTATTCAGATCCTCAGCCTCGGCATCTTTTATTAAGGCCAGCCGCTTCGAAATGTACCCTGTCTCGACCGGGCCAGGAGGAGCAGCGCATTTTCGAATCAATCCCAATCGACTCTTTCGGTGTACTAGAGCTCGTGGTTCCCCCTCAGCGGTTGGAGCAGCTTCCTTCGACAAATCCCGTTTGAGGATGCGGAGACGGACACTCGTGAGCTTCGTGCCGCTACTTGAATAGATCTGTCTGATGAGTCTGAGGTTGGGGGGAGCGGGAGGCATTTCTCTCTATGGACGGCGTCCTAAGGCGAGGCTGCACACTGTAGGTTTTGTTCTCTGGCGCCCACATGGTCTGTGCTGAAGCTCCGGTACTGTAACGGCCGAGAACGGTTCCCAGGACTGTTTCTCGCTTGCGCCTATCCCGTTGTTTGTTTACTCGACTGCAGGAGAAGGAAGAAGTTTTCCTGTTGCTATTGAGGAAAGACCCTTGCCGGCTTCTTCATTGAAGAAATCATGTATATTGGAACTCCCTCGTCCATATATTAAGTTTCTCAATTTAGAGTCGTGCCTCAAACCAGTTGCAAGATCTATTAACATCGCACAGCTTGTTGAACTTTTTTGAAAGAGCAGCAACTCTGTCATATTCTAGACCCATGAACAATTTTAGATATATAATTGCTACAGTTAATTTTCGATGTTATCTGAGTTGATGAAACATAGGTGAAGTTCATCTTCCCCATGCGCCATTCTCGAAATATGTATCGATATCCCTTCCAACATGAATATGAGCAACAAACTGGAACCTAGCAATCTATCACGTCCTCTTCTCAAAGCCACTGCTCTCCATCAACCATTTCCCAAAATCTTGCAACTCGGGCACCAGCTTTCTGCACTCCGCCACATCAGCTTTGCAACCCACCTTCCTGAACCAGTCAAACATCATCCCCATCTCTCTTACTCCCTTTTTGATCCCCCATCCCACAACGGCGTACGTCTCTGGCATATCACGTCCCAAAGTCTCCCGAAACACCAGTTTTGCCTGCTCAAAATTCAACTCATCGCCGGCAATTGACATCGACTTCCCCTTGAACATGTCGGGCAGTAGGAACGCCTTGGCAGCGAAAAGCCCAACGTCTCGAGTGGAAATGAGTTGAAGAGATTTGGACCCTACACCTGCCCACATACTGGCGAATCCCTTTCCTAGGAAATCGGGGGTTAAGTTATCGAAGAAAGCGACTGGGCGGAGGATGGTCCATTACATGGATGAGCGTGTTTCACGAATCCGCTTCTTGAGATATTGCTCGATGCGATGCTTTGTGGCGAAATGATGAATCTCCGTTGGATTCGTGTCACTGACTACATCTCCACCTCTATCAACAGACGTGAAGACAAAGTGACTGACGCCATTCTTGATAGACTCGTCGATCAGAGACATGGCTTGGTCGTCCTCTGAGACCTTTGTTCGCGGCATGGTCATGCTGAAGACGCCGTATATGTCTTTGTGGGCAGCGAAGATGCTGGTTGGAGACGAAGAAGAGCCTTCGACGACGGTTATGTTTGGCATCGAGTCGAGTCTTTTGGCCGATGGGGAAGTTGCGTCGCGGGTCAGGGCGAAGATCTGGAAAGGTGGTGGAGTGGTGCCTGAGAGGGCCGTGATGAGACTGCCGCCTTGCTTGCCTGTCGCACCCACAACTAGGAGCTTTCTTGCTGCCATTGTGACAGGGTCGTGAGCTGGATGGAAATTTCAGATTCGAATTGTGAGAGCCCAGGAAGCTGGGAATCGAGAATTCGGCAAAATTTATGCCCAACAACAAAAAGCTTAGAACACAGTACATGTCATTCGACTGTTCTCATCTCGAGGAATGTTGTTTATATACATCTGAGCTCCTCAGAAGCCCTTCAATTTCTTAGCATCGTCGAAGACAATGTTGACGTCGACACTTTGATTCGACCGAAAATCTCGGACGAATTGGTCCGGCCGGAAGCGCTTGTCCACATGCCATACCCTGCCCGCATCAGCTATTCGGCCAAAGCATGATACCGGATACAACTAACGCGGTTCAAAGCATTGAATCGAAGTGAGTGGAGAACTCACTATGATATTGTATATTTCCACAACAAACCTGTGTTAGGAAGAAACGAAGAAAACAAACTCGAAGCTCGGATGACTTGGTCCAACGAATGTCAGGACAAGTGAGGACACTCATCAGGGCACTCATCAGGTAACATCTCCACGATGGTATTTGGTGCACGGCTGATTTAATGGTCGCAATGACGAAAATGGGTGTTGCAATTTGCGTCAAAAAAAAAGTCCCTTCATCAAGCGGAAAGAAACATAACAAGCGAAACAACTATTGTCCCACATCATCCGTACAAGGAAACCTGCCAACCTCCTTTGTTATATCCCGATAATGAGAGGTACAAAACCAACCAAGTACTTGTTAAGCAGTGTCTTTGAGAAGACATGATAGACATCGTATCAGGTTACCAGAGTCAACAATCCCAATGCTCACCGAGACAAATGCTGCAGCGAGTATCACGAATCTTACGACAACTTGTCGTGCTCATGAGTCTGGGTCGTGAAGGCTGAATATCCGATCTAGGGTGTATGAAGGCTTAGCAAGTTTGCAAAAATCGTGGAGTCTTGGCATAGAAACTCGGTTTTCTGAGGTAGACACACTCTGTTGGCCAGCATCAGCCTTGGTGGAAAGATGCTTAGAGGATACCTGGACGCCAAACTAGGGGACCTGTGTTCAATTGGCTGAAAGTTTCGTTTTACAGTCAGAGCTGGTGAGAAATCACATGAGCTGCGTTGAGCTTACCGCCCGTATTATAATGTGAAGCAGCATCAATTCGATGGCCTCAGATCGATAGAGTCATGGCTGGGTTCGAACCTACTTCCTATCAAAGAAGTAGGCATCGAGCTTTATCAAGTTGAAAATCATAGGGAAGTCAGATGGATTTGTTACAAGTGGCACGTGGCAATATGAGGAAGCGAGAAGCAATGAGAAGTAATAAGAGAGGGAGAGAGAGTCAAAGTAGGATGATAGGAAAAGTATGTATGTATTTGCACCAATCGTTACGCTATTTCTTGGTCGTATGTCAACTGTAATCCGCTACCCTCTTCCTTTCCTCTTCGCTTTTTTTTCGACGAAAAAAACGTTGCTTTGGTCAGGAGGTTGGGTGCAGGTGGGCACGCGGTGTCCTAAGCGAGATCAGGACCAATAGGCCCCGCGTTTGACGCCGCCCCCTTCTTTCGACTTTCCCTTCGATAGTCTTTCTTGGCCTTCCCCCCTTCCTTTTTCTTTTGTAATATGACGCCATTAAATATCTCAAAGACACGTTCAACGGTTTGGTCGCACCTTTGGGGGTCTAGTGACTCCAATTCCGTAGTCAAAGCTTCAAACTTTGACAATCTTTTGGATGGCTTGTCTGCCTCAGCTGGGAAATCTGGCGAAGACGTCCGGGATACGGACAAGTCTCCGGTTCCACCAACCGTAATCCATTTCGACTTAACCGGTTCCTCCGTGTTTGATCCAGTTGAAATACCTGGCAAAGATGGCTGAGGTTCGATCACGTTCTCGTGGTTCTCCTTCATCCACTCGGCTACACTGTCTCGGTAATATCGAATGATATCCATGTGATCCTCCATGGAATGCTCCTCACTGCCCTTCTTTGTATCTTTAAATGAATCAGGAAGGAAGCTTTCCAATTCCGCCAAATCCCGCGAAATCTGCAAGTACAACTCATTCCAAGCGCGAACCGTCTTGAGGATCCCCGCCTTTGAGTGCACAGCTTGGTTACGGTCTGCATAATGTTGCACTGCTCGCCACGACGCTCTCTTAGGTAGGTAACAAGTCGACAAGAGTTTGTCTGCTGCGGTATGGAAAGACCCTAAGAGGCCTCCGCTGGACACAGTTTTATCGTCATATTCGAAACCAATAGCTTCCGCCCATTCTGCACAGTCGCGCGGGAAGGGGAGTTTGCTTCTTTTGGCGATGTTCTTCAGATCATTGTACACCTTGCCAGAATAGTCGCCTAGGCGTATGTGTGCCTGATATTCCTCCAATGTATATTCTTCCTTGACAGCATCTTCTGTACTTTCGAAGGGTAGAGTAGACTCGGGTGATTTGGACAGTTGCATGGGCGACAGCTTTTCGAGATTTGTCGTCGTGTTCTGTTGAGATGATTCACCGGAGCTCAAAGTCTCCCCAGTGGTCGCTTTCGAAGCCTCAAATGAAGCTTGGACTGTTTGATCTAGCCCAGGATTGACGGAAGAGGAGGAGGATGGTGAAGACATGATGACTGGGTCTGAGCCAGTGCTGGTAGAAGAAGCCGAGAATGCTGGAGTACAGATGTCGATGGGTCGATTTGAGATACAGATGAAGCAGAAGTTGAAGAGACCCATCGTAGATAGAGCACCCTTAAGTAATATCTCGAAAAAAAAGTCATTGTGTATTCCATACTGTTCTTTGTTTTGTCACTGTCCCCAAAGAACTGGAGCGTGATCTAGAAAACAGGCGAACTTGCAATGTTGTTCTACAAATGCTTTGTGAAAGTAAAAGAAAACAAAGGTCACAAAGAACTCAAAATGGGATTCATGGTTGAGATACAGATTTCCTTTGTTCTCAAAGAAGGCAGGAGAAGTTGGAGAACAATGTCGGAGTATCCGCTGGGCTGCTGCCAGGGTTGACTTGCGCACGTGATCGCATTGAGACCGCTGAAAACAAAGCCCATTGGAAGCCTGAAGCGAAATGTCAACCCTGGCAGCAGCCCAGCGGATAGATCAAGGAAAAGAAACGAATAGATTACATTGCTCCTAGATACACCTACAACTGAAACTCATCCCACACCTTGCAAACCTTTGAACCCAAGCCTTTGAGATGATTTGTCTCTGACGAATCCTGTTGGTTGCCGTTAACAAATCTTTCGAGTGCTTTTCTCGTCGCTTCTCCTGCTTGGAAATCTATATGTTTCGAACTCTTCTTGATGTATCTCAAGCACGGTTTTGGTTCTCGGGAGTTTTTTGTGTCTGGTGGACACATTACAGACTCTATCAAGTCTGAATGGACCGCATTACAGCCACGACGATGCATAGGGGGGACTCCTTGTGGGTAATATTCTTTCCATGCGATTTGACTCCAGCAAGTTCTCAGCCTCGCTACTGCGGCCTCGTCCTGAAACAACTCGTTATCCTCAGCCTGAGCAAGAGACTTATTGGACATTCGAAGCTGTTTCACCTTCTCAAAGTATGAATCACACTCGGATTTGCTGAAGCGCTTCGCAAGGGGGAAGTCCGTTAGTCTGGAAGTCGATGGGAGTCCTAGTTGCAGCCGCATCTTTTGCATAGGGGCTGAGAGCGGGTTTAACGTCAGCATCCAACGATAGCGTGCCTCCAAGTTATCAGTAGACTGAGGGAACATAGATATAGGACCATCTGGCTCAAGCCTGATCCTTTCCCACTCTTTTACATAATCCGATCTCCCATTTTCATTATACCAGCACATTAGCACCTCCAATCGCATCATATCTGCGTTTGTCCCAATAGCAAAATCCAACCGCGTCTCTACGTTGATAAAGCTATTATCTAGTGACCATTGAATAGTGGAATCGTCGCTCCAAAAACTGTCCCCCACCGCGGTTCCGAAGCGAATGGTGTCTTGCATGGCATTTTCAGCGTTCTCGAATAGGTACCCCTGGCTGGTCATGTTCTCAGGAACGTGTATACGAACTTCAGGGACGCTCCTTAATCGGCAAAAGGGTAAAAGAACATTCATATAGTCGTAATCCAGTGTCTGATCTGTTTTCAATGGTTCTCCATCCGGTCGAGTCCATTTTCCGAGCGACGAGTCAAGGAAGTGGATTTCGAGACTAGGAAGGCCACCCTGATGCTCGAGCATTTGGACCAAGTTTCGAGTGTTCTTTATCAGAGAAAGAATCAAGCTTGGATTTCCTTGTTCAATTGCATTGATCGATATCCTTAGCTTTTTCAGCATTTGGTACGGCAGATTTGAGAATCTCTCGTAGAGCTCGTCGCAAATGCTTGTTATCATCCATCTTGCCCCATGTGCGTTCTCGACCGTAATCCATTGAGACCAGACACATTCCACATGAATGTCAAGAATTTCTTCGTCGTACAGGTAGGGTATGATCTCCTCACTCAGTTGGCGACCAGCTCGCAGCACTCCAAGAGCATTTCCCCCTGTTGACGTATTATTAGATCCAGATGAACCGGTGGTCGGTCGAAGATTTCTCCAAATCTCTGCTCGGAGTTCACCAGGGAAAGCCTTGAGCAAGCCAAGGTTGTGTGCAGTCATGTTGATGAGTTGATTATACTCCGTCAGACAGGGTGTTAATAAGAAGTCATAGCAGATGAAACTGTGAGCGGCAGAAACTAGGAGGAGGAAGTGCTTCATATGTGGTCTCCTTCGGCCCATTAGCTCAAATAGCGCTGTCCATTTGCTCAACTGGCATGCGCTCAAAAATGTGTCTTAACTGAAAACGGCGGCGAATCTTTATTCCACAGTCATGCCAACACTCTCTTAGCTACGAATCCGCAATCTTTGCCAAGTACATGCTGATTGGGAAACCAGGGGAGAAAGGCTACAAATAATAACGCACGAATCCTATTGCTACACTCTGATCTGTACTTAATAGACTTCGTGGAGAGATGGAACTGAAAAAGATCATCATTTCCTTACCTTTGCATTGTTGATACTACATCATTTGCCTGAGTCGTTTTCGCCCAGAGAAATATTTCATGCGGGGTACGAAAGTAGTGAGATTTTCTTTCATACACAGCATTCCTCCGCTACCAATAGTCATGAAAAATCTACATTCCATAAACCCGAGCACAAAGAGTATGTATGGAAACAATATCATACGCCGAACTCAAAGAAAAACGGAACTCCCTAGTCCCATCCGGATATCATACAACATTCCAACGCCACCCATCCCCACCCACACTGAAATCATACTAAGTTTCAGGTGCTCGAGAAAGTAGAGACTGCACTCAGCCTAGATATATGTCCTCTCAAACATCATACTTCCCACTCCGCCGCTTCTCCCCCCTCCGCAGCCTCAACCAAATCGCCAAATCCTGGAACCCCATCGACGGCCTATTCAACGGGCTTTCCGGGCCTGTGTACACTAATAAATCATACAAAAATGCTCCGAATGTGCATCCCAAGAACGGGACAACCATTGGGATCCAGAAATAGTAGCCGCCTGCGCTCCATACTTGGTGGCCATACCCGAGGATGTAAGACATCAACCGGGGACCGAAGTCTCGGGCGAGGTTTATAGCGTAGCCTGTTTCCCATCTGTAGAGGGAATTAGTACTTGAATCTTTTCAGAAGTGATGAACGAGAGAATGCGAAAAGAGAAGACATACCCAAAACATGCTCCTAGCCCAAAAATCAAAAAGAACAAAGCAAGCGGGAACATCTGCCCCGCTCCGGTCTTCCCCATCGCTCCAGGATTCGAGTCATCCTTCAACGCAAAGATGACCAGCATCAAAATCGTACTCGCAATAAACTCGCTAAAGAATTGACTAGCTTTCGTTAAGAACGCCTGCGGATATGTGCAGAAAATGCCGGCTGTGGCTGTACTGCTCGGTGGAACGGTGCGAATACCGTGGCCTTCAACTTGGTCAATTGCGCTGATGTAGTTGGCATAGACCACTCCGGAAGCACAGAACGCGCCGAGGAGTTGAGCAATGAAGTAGATTGGGAAGCGCTTCCAGGGGAGTTTGCGGAAGAGGCAGAAGCAGAATGTGACGGCGGGATTAAGAAATCCGCCCGAGTCGCCAGCGACGTAAATTCCGAGCATAACTCCTAGACCCCATCTGTGTTTTATGTTAGATCGTGATGTGATGTCGGGGAAGGACAGGTTATGTATACCCCCAACTTATACTCTGATATGGCCCGAACCCGTTTCCGCCTGGAGCTGTTGTCTGCCCTGTGCTGAGAAGCACTTGTGCTACACTGCCATTTCCAAAGAGTATCATAACAAATGTACCCAAAAACTCCGCGAACGGTTCTCGGAACAAGACTCTGATAGAGCTCCACCTCAAGTGCTGATGGACATCGTGACCATCTACAATTGGTGCCTCGGGAGCCAGCCCAATCTTCGTCCGTATGGTTGAAATGGTATGCTGCCGATCGATCTGGCCTTGTGTCTTACTACTTTTTGTGCTATGGGCTGTGCTGGCAGTTGGGTAGTTATTCAGGTGTGTATTTGGCGGTGGTGATGATAGGGTGGGACTTCCGTGTTCTTCGCAATCTTCGAAATGTCCATATCGAGGCGTATCTGAGGGCCTTCGAGTTGCTGGGGACGGGCCAACTACGTTCGCTTGTTTTTCGAGGTGATTCGCATATGCTCGGTCGGAATTTTGGATAGCGCTGTCGGGATCTTTGAGACCTGGTCCACTGCCGTACTGACCTTCATTGTGATGCGTTTCCGCCCAATCTTTTGCTCGAGGACTTCCTGATGGCGAGTATGCAGTACCGTCGGAAGACATCGTGATGTCAAATTATCAAATATGTGCTGTGCCAGATGGTTGATGGAAATGACTTTTCCCCTTATGCGGCGTGCAAAACAATTATGAAGCTACGAGCTCAGACAGCTTTAATCAAAACATATAAGAAAGCTGTGGTAGTATTGAGGACGGTACCCCGCCATGCAAATCTATCGTCATCGTCCATATCTGGAGCCCCTGGCAAAGAAGACGGCCTAGACACTTGACTGATTTGGCACAGGCGTTCACGCCACTCCCGCAAAAGCTCTCCTATAATCGAGTTTAGAAGGTGTCAAAGGAGGAGATCGCGCTTGATCGGGGCACGAGGCCGAATGTACGGGAGGGTGGTGAGACCGGAGCATAGGTCCCTTTCGCGGCACGAACGACCTGTGAAATCAAGTGAGATGTCAAAATGAGGGGTTTGTGAGATCAGCGTGAGATGACATCGACATCAACTGTAACATCGCTCGGCACTACGCTGAGGAGAAAGTAGTCTCACAAAGCTGCTTCAACAGATTCAACCACTTGGTTGTGATTGTAAATAAAGTATGAATGATGCGAAACCATGCATATTGTTGATATCGATTTGTTGAATTGACTTTCACATATTCAAGGTCAACCCTTCGACACCACAAACCCCAGATCCTCGGTAACAAGAGGAACATACTGAAATGGGGGATGACTGGACTGTGTCTAGACTCTGGTGGGACACCTGGGGTAAAAGTGGAAAGGGTGGTGACGTTAGGCGACCTTGGCCCCCATGGGGAATGAACTGGGATCGGCGCCACTGACGACAACTTCAACGTTTCTTCTTGGCAGATTGTCTGGCATCGAATCAATCTTCGATACGAGTACGGATTATTATTGTTGAGCCAGCTGCTGTAAGAGAAAGAAGGCTGAAGTATGATTTCGGGCAACAAGGCGCTTGTCCAGCCTTGAAACCGTTTTCAAAGGTGCGATGCGATCAAGATCGTGAAAGGATGCATGCACTCCGTCTCACTGGCACGAGCGATGTCAACCTCGGCATAAACTCATGTATTCTAAGTGATCTTGATTTTGATTTTGTTAATGCGACGCCTGTTCGTGTTGAACTTCAGCGTGCACGCACAGGTCTGCGCCAACGACAGATATCTCGACGAAGCCGCTTCAGCAACCTCAAGAATATCCTTCTCAAGATCCAGCTGCTCCCACTTCCCCAGCTTCATCCTTAAATCCTTCAGTTCTTTTGGAATTCATATCAATCTAGTAATCATATAGTATGTCCCGATTACTATAAGTTCAGTTTTAATATTAGTAATTGCCTTCCTCTAACAAAGTGTATCAAAGGATGCTCCAAGCTGCATTGTGGGTGCTGCCCCTCCACAAAAGGGGGGTATTAAAACAGCTAGCATCTGGGCCGGACTGCACCCAGTGTGGAGGAAAACAGAGCTCTGATGCAAGTTGGCAGGGCCACTTCTATTGCACCAACTCAGAATGCCCTTTGTACCTGTTGGGTTGACGGAAAGTAATGGTTGGTCAGGGATTTTTGGTGGAAATCAGGGTACAGCTCATAATTACATTTCGGCGGGTTCGATTTTCGCTTTTTATACACATATGCATCTTATCCAGGCCAAAAAATACTGGAAAACCGCTCACTGATCACGATCGTCTTGAACATGAATCTGAAATGTTGTGAACGGCTCGATGGCAAGCCACAGGTGCCCGACACTGTGATTGACGGAGCGTTGCTCCAAGATTTAGCGTAGCCGAAGTTTAACCACACACCAAGAATAACCACGACCTTCCCGCTCCAAGCTTCTTCCCTGTTATGCATATCCCTTTGTTTACCGTCGTACCATGGAACTTCCACCAAAAAGCGAAGATGTATTCACTCAAATGGCTAGAACAAACCACCGCAGAAGAAACGAGGCACGGCGAAGTGCGATGTTAGGACCATGTCTCCTGCCCGACCGAGCGATCAATGGCCGAAGCTCGACTGGTCTCAGCTCCCTCACAGTAGTGCGATCGAGAAGATAATATCGACTGGTGACTGGGAGTACCTCCGATCAGAAGCCTCGAGACTCTATCCATCATCTCAGCAGGTTCCGTGTTCTATTGATCTTACTCGTTTTGCAAGCGGTCGCCAGAACGCAATCTTTGAAATATCCTTCTCCAACGGAACATACTGGGTCGCCAGGGTGTCCCTTACACAAGATGTCGAAATGCAGATGCTCAGCGAGGTTGCTACGATAAAGATTCTGCTCGAAAAAACATCGATACCGGTGCCGTCGGTCTTAGGCTTCAACTGCCAGAACAAGAATTCGTTCGGGTTTCCGTATATGTTCATGTCAGCTCTCTCAGGACGGACTCTCGATAAGACATTCGCGCTCTCCGTCCCGGAACAGCATAAACCCAAAGTTGCCGGCCAGCTGGCAAGATATTGGTATGAGCTCAGCCAGGTTACTTTTGACCAGATCGGCCGGATTTGGGGTGGACCCGGAGCCGACGATGACCTCCGCATCATATCCCTGCCGTGCTTTGGAGCTCGGGATTGCGAACCTGGACTTTATGACATCGGGCCGTTCAAGACTTCTGGTGCATATTTCTCGGGTATCAGACAAGGCATGAACAATCTTCTTCGTGCCCAGCACTGGGACGCTTGGCCACAGTGGTCCCGACCGTGCCAGGCGCTTACAGACGTTATTCCCTCATTGACCATAGCGCCACGACGTCGACGCGGGCCTTTCCCTCTTGCCCATACAGACTTCCACTACGGCAATGTGCTTTTAGACGACGACTACAATATCACCGCAATTATAGATTGGACCAACGCGCATACCGTTCCGGTCGAGGTATTTGCAGCGTGGCCCGAAATCATGATCCCTGGCTCAGCCTCGAACGAAGTAAAGGTAGACAAAGCCCATTTCCGAGACTTATTCACGAAGGCGCTTAAGAATCTCGAGTCAGCAGCCGAATCGGGGTCAACGAGTCTGGCGATATCGGGCTTATTGGATTCGTCTATGTTGACTGTGGTTCATCGGTGGCTATTCACCGTGCGAAACGTGCCTCACACACTACGGGCCGCCTCGGTGTATGCAGATATGGTACTGCGGGCCTTGTACGGCGATGAAGCAACCGTGGAGAACTACAAATCCGTACGGAGGAACAAAAAGAAACGCACAAGCGGAGGTCTCGGAACCTTGGGATGTGGCTCTCCTGGAACGGGGTAATTGTGGTGACAGTTATGGCTACGCTGGCGCAACAATAGGCCGGAGAGGGCCCACATGGACAAAAATAGGTTTGAGAACGTTATCGTGAAGTTTGCCCGAAATTCGAGAACCTCAAATTTTTGGCTGGGGACGGAGCGATCTTTACAGGCAGATCTTGATGTAATATACGATCGTTGTATGGACGATCTTGGCGTTCAACACGGCAATCGGCCGTTTGGAGAAAGGAGAACAGCAATTGCATAGACGAGGCGAGGACTGGGGATCAGGATTGCGCGGCGTATTTGGGAGTTTGAACTTCATTTCTTTTTGCTAAAACGGGTGTGGGTGAAACAGTACGATACAATGATACCAGGGGTGCCAATAGACACGCGACTTATTGTATAATACATGATTTCGGCAAAAATTCAGCTAGATTGATGAGACCACAAGACATGAAATACGACTCTCCAGCTCAGGCAGCGTACCATTGTTAACAAAGAAGGGTTTGAAATTTTGTAGGCTCCACAAGTCCGCCTCGTCTATCGTGCAGTCGAGCCCCCTTTCCTGGAAGTAAACAATGTCTCCTGAAACCACTTAAACATGTGAGCTTGACTATAAATTCCTTCTGAATTATAAGAATGTATGCTGTCAACAAAAATCAGACCGTCCGTCCCAAAATCCACTCGTCTCATCGAAAGCTACCCGGAATGTTGCCTAGGATCCGTAAGGGTGGGGCACGGGCACAGTGCATCATGCATCGAAACCAACAATGTCCTGATAACCTTGAGATATGACTCCGTTGCTTGATACCAAGAAGGGCGGTGAAGCTGCTGTGACTCAAAGTCAACCACAGTCGTCTTGCGTGCCGAAGGTCAAAACGAAGTGGGAGGTTATCACAACCGCCTTCCCACCTTTATGTTGACATTCATTTGGGGGTCCAAAAACAAATAATTTCCGCTTGCGCTTACAACATGCATTTCAATCATGGGCTCCTCGTCTCTATCATACCAGGTCTGCTTACATTGGCCCAATATTCACACCTTGAGCTGAGAGAGAAGCAACGATCTGATTTCACCGTTCCGCCAGAGCACTTTTCAGGATCTCTTGTCACCTCTCGGATACTCAACATACTAGAAGATGCTACTCCCTTCGACTTTTTCGATCCTTTGTATGCTGGGAATAAGCCATCCCAGATTTCCCTCAAACTTCCATACTCAGCAACAAGGGTGATTCCGTCCATCGAAAGACCAGAAGAGGGCTCGTGTCACTGCAGTTTTCAGTATTTCGGTGGTGTAGCCGCCCTGAAACTTGGTGTAGATGAGAACAGTGAGCCAACATTTGTCTATTCTAATTTCAGCATGTACTAAAAATGAATCTCCAAGTTAACAGCCCACTGGAGGGCAAACCCCCGCACCAAACTCCCGCAATTTCATCCGATATCACGCAAAGAGACCTCTCTCATGAGAACGACAATAGTGAGTGTAGAGGCTGCAAGGTTATAGATGTGGACTTCAGTAAGGATGGTCAAGCATTGAGAAGACCAAACTTCGGGGAGGATTTTGCGATTTTGCAGACTTTGCCTGATCTCGAATATCCGTCGAAGGACGAAGGCCCTGAAGTCACCGAGACTATACTTGCAAAAGGCATAAAGGAATTTAAAGAGAAAGAAAAAGAGAAGGAAGTGATAGAGGATGATGAGAAGGACAATCAAGCCCAACCGGTAGGTTTATCCTCAGTATCTGTTTTCAAGTCCTGAAATCCGAATAATTCTTCAGCTACGACTTCATACAACGGCGTGTGTTTTGGCAATTGAAGTAGAGTAGTGCTAACGAGTTAAACAGTCTATTGACAGTCAAGGTAATCTCATCAGTCAAAACACTGTTGAGGAGCAAGAGTGCCCTGAGATGGATACGCATGTCTTCCATTGTGGTGAATGTGGCGGACCAGATGAGCAAGGAAAGTGTAAAGGAGTAAGTCACCATCGTTATTTTGAGACGAGTATCAGTGAAGCTAATTTTGAAGGATCCCGAATATGATTACGAATTCAAGGGCTGCGATTGTGCTCCAGATCTCGATTGGAGCAAAGATATACCTGGACTCAAGAGACCGAATTTTGGCAGAGGGTCGGCTAGATTGATGAGATTACAAGATATCAAGTACGCAGATTCGTCAGACAGGGGAGCAAGTACTGTTTAGGTTCACATGGAGATTAAAGCAAGTCCGCCACGTCGAGCGCGCTGTTCAGTTGAATGCATGGAGCGGTTCAATTTTAGATATGGTTTGGAATTCGGACTATCAAAAGTAAGACAATGCGGCAACAATTTCCAAACACAGTCTCTACCATAGTCGGAGTTGTATGGAGTCTTCTGTATCTACTGCGCGATATTTGTTCTCTATTTCCCCTTTCATCATCACGCAATGGCTGTGCGGCGGGCGAGTGAGAGGGACGGGAATGATTACAGTATCTCGCTTAATTTGGCGAGCTTGGAGCAACCAACTTTCAGCCTGTCGTGTCCTCAGAAGTGGTGCCACTATGTATTCGCGTTGAGTTAGGTTAATTTCAACGGCAGTTAGTTATTTTTCTCGTGTCTTGTAGCTCATTGCAAGATTGTGCAGTTCGTATAACTGGAGACTTTTGGATGGCTAGCTTCTTCGTTTTCAGGAGGTTGGTGTCCGGGATTGTTTTTCTGACACTCAGCAACAGCATCAGTTTATTGTAGCTTGGTTGACGAGAAAGTGCTCGACCATCCATTCATACTACTCATAGACGAGATAACTGTTAAAGGAACATGCATTTTTGTCTTGTGTTTATTCGTTTCCTCTATGCCGCGAGCTTAGCAATACCTGTACTAGGCCCTAACTCATCGCCGAGAAAAGAAAATAGAAAGCCAAAGCACCCCTCCACACGCCGCCCAAGAAGACGAAGAAAAGAACAATGACTATTTCATAACACCAGGGTGCTCCGAGGGCCCCTACCTAGCAATTCATTGTCATTAAACTTGAACTCAGGAACCCTTAGTCTACTACAAGAGGTGTCAGCAAAAATACTAGATGAAGCATCAAAATTGTAGTAAACATACAACCAAACGCTCCTTAATCCAGTTCTTTGCCTTAGTGACACCCAGCTGACTACCAGTAAAGACAATCTGTTGCTCGTTAGAGCCCTCCTTCTTCGGCAATATGTCAGCCTTGCAGCCGCTTCGGCGAGCAGTGCCTTTGATGATTATGCCGACATTCTTTCCCAGCTTCGCCATGTCTCTATCTGTCAAGAGAAGGGTGATCTCAACGCTGGCTGGCTCGAGCTTGGCGTTGGCGGCATTGTCGACGGTTGTCTTGTCGGGCTGGTTCAAATGTAGGCATCGGTCGAAGGGGGGGTTCTTTCGCCAGTTTGGATTACCCATCTTGCTTGAGTGGGCTCGGGGATTTGTTTCTACGAGTGAGGGTGTTGTTTGGGTGCTGAAGAAAGCGGCGGCTTTTAAGATGTGGTCGAAACACTGAAGTTTTGTGAGCGGAGATGGGGTTATTTCTTGAGGAGGAAGAAAAAGTGTTCTTGGTGCGTACTGGTACTTCTGTGTCGAAGTCGTGGTGTCAAGGAATTGAGGAAGGAGAGTAAGTCTGCTTGGAGTGGAAACGGTGGGTTTATATGATAAAAAGGAAGGTTGCCTCCACGCAATGAGTACGCTAGCGATGCTCTCACTCTCAGCAATGAACTATGAGTACCCCACATCCCTCATTTGCTATACCAACCTGCACAGTGAGTGAATCATTTGTCGCAATATTGTTGTTGTGCTGCTAAGCGAGATGTTGGTGGTCTCGCTTCGACAGAACAATGTCTTAATCGGGCAATGTTTGGACTGGTTGAACGAACATAGAATGAATTGAACCAGTAAATAGACAGCTGAGCAGCAGCAAGTGAAGAGTATGTCGTAGAGCTTCCAGCCATTGGTAGGCGAAGAGGTAACGGACATCCCTTCCGAAAGGTATGGCCTAGATTGGGAAATACCAAAGACGGGTGAATCGTTCTTTGTCATCCTACTCTCTCCCAAGAAGCTTTATGGGATCCTACCGTCAAGATGAAGAAGCTCGCAGAACAAAAGATATCGTCATTGATGGCAAGTCTAGCACACAGGATTGCCCGGGGTAGATTAGAGGAATGAAAAGCAGAGTGCCACGGTAGTGCATGCTCTTATATCCATCCAGATAGGAACCATGCAACGGACAACACTTGATCACCCTCCCTCTCCCCAAGCAACGAGCACAGAGCCAACTCGTCATTTATCAACCACAAACACATAAGTTTGAAGTTACAACTACCCGTAATGCTGTCGCGTGTCGTCTTTTGCGAATGGTATGGCAAACATGTCGAATTGGAAATTACAGCGGAATTTGGGCAGCTAGAGACTGCATTGTGTATATTCAAATGAATTTATGGGTTGACAACTGACCTAGACAAACATTATGGGGCAGTTGACCTGGCGTAATTTCAAAGTCATTATATTCTTGACTTACAAGCTGCCTATTACCATGTCAAAACCTACTCTGAAATGGCCCCTTCGAGCCTCAGTATTTCTCTTGCTTATGCATGAAGTATCAGCTCCGATTCAAATTACTCCCCTTACACAGTACCGTGATGTGGCTCATCTGGACTTTGTTACTACTGCATGATTTGCATTTCAGGTCATTGGGTCAGTGGAGCGACGCTAGAAACGGCGCCTGGCTTGACCCGAAGGTGGCCCAGACCACGACTGGATCTGAGCTTTCCTCTTAGAGTTCCACAACACCACACTGGCTCGAACAAAAAGCGCTATTTCTTTTTAGACTTCCCCTCAAAGCCTCGCTTGAACTTTCTCTGTTTCCTGTACTTGGCGGATTAAGCTGAAGTGGGGATTGAATTCTTGCCTGTCGTTCCCAGTGACCGTCAGGTGCCCGAAAGAAGTGCCCGAAAGAACATCGATGACTTGCTCTTGCACCAGATGAACAGACCGTCAACCTAGAAACAAAGTGCTATGCATCCACTACAATGCATTATCCTCTCTCTCATATCCGACCCCTCACATGCATCATGACATCGCACAAAAACCCAATCGGAGAAAAGCGACCAGGCCAGCCTCGATGCTCTGCAGCTAACATAGCGTGAAGTCCACAGACCAGCCGTCCGGAAACCCATACAACAACATCGCAAAGCGCCTCAATTGACTATCCAGGCCTTCACCACGTCCCTGGAACAAGAAAACTGAAGACGTGGCGTGCACCTACCCCAGATCTGGATGTGAGCTCGTGAAAAGCTGACTGGTAGTGGTGTTTTGTTATCGTAAGTATGGGATAGGCGCGACCCGTCGCGACCTTGTCGAAGCCACATATCAAGCGCATTTCCTTGCAGCTATGGATAAGAGGCTTCTGCACCCCTCTGCATTTGAGGGGTTTGGATCAGGATTTTGGCAACTGCTGAGTGTTTTGTTACCCCTCAATGAGGTAGAGAGCCGTAATGGCGAACACTTCCTCGCATTACAACGGCACTCCGTTACACATCATTTGCTATGTCTTCTTGGTCATTACATATGTTGCTGTTTTGCTTCGTGTGTTTGTTCGGTTGAGGATTACAAAGGGGTTCCAGATTGATGATTGGCTGATGGTTGTTTCTCAAGTAAGTGCTTGATTTCCTACATAACCGATCCTGGCACAAAGATCTAACTAGACCTAAGATCATCTTCACTGTCTCTTGTGCATTTGTCCTCTTCGGAATCCAACATGGCATAGGAAGACACAATGCAAGTCTCTCGACTCAGAACCAAATCGACGGTCTCAAAGTACGCAGGCCCTACCTCCATCCCAATCCACAACACAACTGACCCAAGCTAGTTCCAAGCATTCACAACAATATCCTACGTTGCCAATATGATGACCCTCAAACTTAGCATCGCCATCTTCCTCCTACGAATTGCGGTTAGGCCACTATATATTTGGATTCTACGCAGCAGTATCGTCGTCGTAGCCATCTGGTCATTCGTCATCTTCATGTACGACATCTTCCAATGCTTGCCTGTACAAGCACAATGGGATTTCACGATTGAGCATCCAAAATGCGTGACTGGGACATCGTTTGTGGCGGCTGCATATTCGATTTCGGTCATGACGATTGTGACGGATTGGTTGTATGCGCTGTTACCGATCCCGATGTTGTGTGAGTGTTCAGTACTGGTTTGGGTTGAAATTGGAGTGATGGAAACTAATGATGCTGAATAGGGTCGGTGCAAATGACCACACAGGCGAAGGTTACAGTGGCTTTCATTCTCTCGCTGGGTATCTTGTAAGCAAATTCTTTTCATATCTCATCAAGCTCCAAGCTGACTCTTTCACTCCAGTGCCAGCATAGCAACACTCATCCGCCTTCGCTACCTCATCGAACTCACCGATCGATCAGATGTCCTGTGTAAGAACTCCCACCATCTCTTCCTCCCTGCTCTCCCTCTCCTTTCTCCCTCAGACTTACTTACTGACGCCCCGTTCTCCACTAGACGCAGCAACACCCGCCACAATATGGACCATCGTCGAACCCGGTCTCGGCATCACCGCCGCCTCACTAATCACCATCCGGCCCCTCCTCAAATCCTTCAACCTCCACGGCTTCCAACACCCCTCCTCAAACTACAACTCTTCATCCCATGCACGAACCCAACGTCAAAGTTTGAATTTGAATCCATATCATAGTCATAGTGAGACTTGGACGTGGACGAATAGTACGGTGTCGAGTCCCGGGTTGAAGGAGGGTGGGAGGTGGTGGATTGGTGGGAAGGGATTGGGATTGGGATTGGGACTGGGAGAAGGGAATGGCAGTGGAAAGGTGGTTGTGAGGGAGAGAGTGCTTGAGAGTGATGTGGGTGTTGTGCTTGGTGGGGGGGAGAGGGATGGGGGGAGTGAGGAGTGTATTCTTGAGGGGAAGGGAGGGGGGATTAGGAGGACGGTGGATTTTGTTGTTGAGAGGGAGAGGGAGTCAAATGGGGGGTTGGAGAGTGTGTAGCGAAGTGTTATGTCTCAATTTAATAATATAATGCGATTGTCTGTTACAAAATCAGTGGCATTGAGCTGAGACTCCAAGACTGCGTTCCGTTCTTCCGGATCCGGCATCGGATCCGGCATCGACTTTGTTAATACTATCTAGCCCTTGAGCCGGGGCAGTAAAACGGAAGTAGATCGCATCTCAAGAGCCAGATTCAAAGGTCCAATATAGAGGTCTACAACAAGTGAGTACAGAATGGTTGATGGTTTGGGACAGGCACCAAGCGTGTTGACTCTTCCCAGAAGACGCAAACAGATACATGCACCTTTCGATTGATTCAGCTGATCGACGATTATTGAAGAAGAAATCTATTATCTACATCCAATCTTTAGATTATCCTCCAGGTATCAAGAAAAACCAAATTGTATGTCCAGAAATTTTCACATCACAAGTCATCCTCGCTTGGCTCCCCTATCCACTCGCTAGGGCCCCCTGCAAAACAACACCCCCTCTTCTCTTCTCCAACCCACCTAAGCCTTCCCGGCAATCCCCTTCCTATAAACCCAACTCCTCGCCCTCTTCCCCCAAATATACATAGGAATAGTCGTCAAACTCGCCGCAATAGTCAGACCCCCAATAACAAAGAACACATTCCTAGTCCCCTGAGTCGCCAACCAATTATTAATATAATTGACCAGCCCAAACGCAAACATGTTCTTGACGAAATTCATGGCTGCGAACGCCTCGCCGGATTTGTCGCGGTGGCAGTCGACGACGTAGGATACGACGCCGGTGGTGCCGAGCTGGATGCCGAAGTTGATGAGGCCGAGGCCGACGATCACCGGGACGGGCCAGGGGGAGAGGGCCACGGCCGATTGGCCCCAGGCGAAGAAGCCGGTCGCGGTGAAGAGGAGGTAGGAAATCATTATTGGGAGGCGGAATTCGGGTTCTGTGGGGAGGCGGGAAGTCAGTCGTCGTTCTTGCGAAACTTCCAGGATGGGAGGGAGTTGAGGATCTTACCGAATGTACCGCCATTTCTCAAAGACATTCTTCGCACGATACCATCGATCAATGGGCCAGCCAAGAGCGTAGCAAGTACCGACGCGACAAAAGATGACAGATTCGTTAGTCCAACAGATGTGACGGAGAAGTTATATGGCGGAGCAGAGAAGATCTGCGAAAGTGTGACGGAGATACCGACGAGCCAGGAGATACATGTTGTGAACAGAAGTGTGGCCCAGAGAACGGCGGGAGAGGCGAGCATGACGAATGGACGAAGAGTGGTATTGATGAGAGAGACGTGGTTGACGTAGCCGCTCCAAGGCTTCATTTCTTGTGCAAATGTATATGGTGCGTCTGCGGCAGGACTGGCTGGGCTGGCTGGGCTGCTGGTTGGTGATGCACCTGCAGTCTTTTCGTTGGTTTCGACATGTGCGGCGTCCATCTTGTGCGTGAGTGTGAGTTCGGTCATGACCTGTGAACTGTTAGTTGGGTATTAATGAGATTGTAAGTGGTGACTCTTACGTTGTTGGCGCCAGTGTCGAGATTGACGGCTCCTTGGCGGTTGAATGCTGTCTCCGGCATCCAAAAGAATATCATGATGAGAGCGAGGCCAAATGCACCTCCCATAGCGTAGAAAGCTACTCTGTAGTTGCTTGCTTCGATGAGAGCACCAGCTAGATGAGAAGTCAGAGATGCGCGGTTCAGGTGTTTATGTGCGAAGACTTACTGATTGGTGCTGCCAAATTGATGCCACCCAAAACACCAAGATTGAAAACAGCAGATCGATAACCACGTTCATGAACGAACCTACTTAAGTCAGTCCAATTTTTCACACAGGGCCTTTCGTTACCACTCACCAAACATCGGCGATAGAAGCAGGAACGAGCGCCTCCAGCGGACCCATACAAAATCCCTGAAGAACTCTCGCAGCAACCAAAGACGCAAAACTCTTCGCAGCAGCGGCCCAGAAACACGTAACCATCAAGCCAACAGTGGTGATGAGATACACTGGTCTCTTGCCATACTTAACCGCGAGAGCATTGCAGATCAGACTTCCGAACGCGATGGCGACGATGACGCCACCCTGAACACCTTGGATGAAGGTTGAGAGACCGATTTCGAATTCTGCTGCGAGTTCTACGAATGCAGGACTGAGAAGAGGTCCGACGGCTGTGGTGGTCAAGATCAGCACTCATTCAGATTGAACACTTCTGAATTCGGCTGCCCACGGGGCTGAGGTGGAGTAACTTACCGCCAACGGCACCACAACTAAACGCAAACGCAATAGTAAATCTCTCCTTCTTCCATCTTGGCCAGTTGTATGGATCATTAGGCGAATCCGAAGGTTGAGGAACAAGCACTATCTGGCCTGTAGGGTCGTGCTTGAGGATACTGGAGTCAACACCATTTGTGTTGAAGTTCTCGCGGCCGAGTTCATTGAGAGGAGCTGTGCCGGGGACATGCTCGAGCTCGTGGTCTTCAAGGACACCGAGACCCATTGTGATCTATGTCAATCAGACAGTTTGTAGGTGCTTGGGTATCTTTTTGAGTTTTGGTGTAAGAGGAAAGGTATGAAGGTGTGGAGATGCAACGAAGTCAAGAATCCGGGGTACGTCGAGGGTTGATATAGAAAGTCACCCTTTACAAGGCCAACACCCTAGATCTCGAATAGACTTTCCCAGGTAGCCTAGCAAGTTATGAATCCGAGTCACGGGCCAGCAGGAAGGGCTGAGACACGAAGCTGGAATCCGGGGGAGGGAAGTCAATGAGAAGTGAAGAAGAATGATTCAGTGGTCTGGATGGACGCCATCTTAGATCCCAAGCAAGATGCTAAAATGACCCATGGGGTCGCGTTGGGCTCCACTCATGAGCTGGTCGGGGAGGAGATCCAAATGGAAGTGGACTTGGCGGACAGGAACACCTTGGTGCAGGTGACTTTGAGGGGGGTTAGCCGAGTTGTGGGGAAATACTTTTGATTGTCTGGGGGCTCGGGACAGGGAAGCTAGGGAGTCGCAGGGGTTGTGCGGAGTCTGGTCGCTTGCGTTGCCTCGACACAACAAAAGATGGGGAATGACATGGCCCGTGAGAAGTTTAATTTTATTGAGGATATGGGTATAGCATCGGGGAGGAGATACCAAGCTTATGACAGCCGCGTACTGTAGGTATTTGAACTTGGACGATTTTGTGGCTTGTTTTGGTTTCAAGGAGATGCTGACCACACTTCGGCAGCTGTACTTTGAGAGCTGATGGATGTTCAAAACGTGGCAGGAAATCCCCCTTCAAGGATGGGGCTTTTCTGAGGATGGGAGGAATTCCGAATGGCTTCTCCCAGTTGCCGTCCCGAAGCAGGGCTTCACGTGGTAAGTTTTGGACCCAATTTTGAGCTTAGGGGACCTGGACTCGGCGGTCGAATTGTTCTGGGTGAGAAGTCTTACGCTTTCTGTGCTTTGAGTCACTTCGTTATGCTTAGAGTGAAGATAATAGACGGTCTTTCACGCTTCATTAATTCAACCTCTCTCCTCTACTCGTGCAGCTACCTTCCGATCTAAGCATATCCCAACGCCCAAAATGCATCAAAATTATGCCTCGTTATATCATCCACAAGTTCCGGTGGCTCTCTAATTGTATACTTGTCCCCACTAATTTCGGCCGTGAACCCAGTCATAGTTGTGTTGCTGGTGAAGTCCTGGATGGCACTGATAAGTGTTGACATGGGTGTGATGATCATCGTGGAGAAGAGTTTCTCGTCTGCCAGGCCAGTAGCTATATCGGTTTATCAGATACAGTTTTTCTTCTAGAAGCAATGGAGAAATGAAGAGACTTACCGATGCAATTTGGGCAGATCCCATTTATCCTGATCCCTTCCGGCTCCAACGGTTTCGCAAGCGCCCTTACAGCACCCACAACACCATGTTTCGTGATACCATACATCGGAGCAATTGGGAATGGATATAGTCCTGCATTGGAAGCTGTGCAAATAATTTGGCCTTTATGCGAGGAAGTGTTCTTCCGCATGTAGTAAACCGCGAGTTTGATTGCTGTGCGCGGTTCTAATTAGCTTTCGTTTCCCAAATCTCTAAGGTATGCCACTTTGAAGCGCAGGAACGCAGTTGCAGGATAAAAGAACTCACAATACAGAGTCCCCACCAAGTTGATATCCAGAGTCTTCAGCACAGGCTTCCTCGGTCCTTCCCCCTCCTCTTCCATCTCGAGAAACTTCCCAATCTCACTCACGCCGGCATTCGCACAAACAACATCCACACTCCCAAAATCCTTGTACACTTCCTCGAATACACTCTTCTGCTCATTCCAGTTCGAGATGTCGCATCTGTGGAATTTAAATGCGGTCTTTGGGAACTCGGTCTGTAGCGAGGGTAAGAGATTTGGCAGCGGAACAGAGATATCGAGGATGGCGATTTGGTAGTTCTGCGATGCGAAGTATTTGACAAGGGCGAGGCCGATTCCTGATGCGCCGCCTGGAGAGTGGTGTTAATACTGTTTTGGGCGATTTGTGGTTTGGAGATAGAAGATGAAGTTGGAGAGATAAGAATGAGGGGTAAGTTTGTACCTGTCACGATAGCTGCCTTTCCTGTGATCGATGAGTTGGCCATGTTGAGATAAGCTCAGGATGTTTCGATTTCACAAGAATGCCTGCACAACTGAAAGCAAATTGATGGTCCTGCCCCAAAGTTTCAAAGATTGATGTCGAAGTCCAGACAAGAAATAGCCGCATTGCACGACAAGTAGCACACGGCGTCACACCTCCCCCTCCACACCCCGGAAAATCACCCAACTACTGCGCAAGAACGAACTACGTCAAATAATTTGTTTTTCTGTTCCGAACACGCTCGAACTTTATCAGCACAAGGCTGTCCATTTACATCATCCCATTCCGAGAAGTTTCCCGTCCAAATCTAAAGCCTCGAATCCAATCATCCCCTCCAATCCCCCCTCTCCTCCTTGCAAAGCCCCACGAAGGCTGGCAGCCCCACATCCCCAAACCTTCTACCCCAAGCTTCTCAAGCCACTGCCTGATATCCAATAGAAATCAGCAAGGGATAAGTTACTCGAGCCGTCGAGTTGGAAATGGAAGTAATTCCGTTCCGGGATTCCCCCTTTCTCATTCTCCACTGTGGACTGAAAGCGTTTTGGCGAATAACCTTGGGATTTACCCCGCGTCTCGTCTCGGTCAGGGTGCGCAGGAGGGGTTCGGAAAGCTACCCATGCTCTTAACTTACCCCACAGTTTTCATTCTGCGACGGGAGGAGGGGAGGGGTTGGGCTGGTTCGGGGAGGGAGATCGGGAGATACGTTTATACGTCCGAGCTCTGGTTTGAGGCACTTGGTTGAGAAGATACCTACCATTACATGTGATCAGATACTCATATCCACAGAGATCTTAGGATTTTTTTGAGTTGAGGATCTGAGCTTCTTTTGTTTACTTACAAAATATCCTTGCGAATAACTCAACATAGATATCCATTAAACGAGTTTTCTGCGAAGTCTATTTGAACGCTTTGATAGGAGACCGAAAGGAGACATCGAAAATGGCAGCAATACCCTTGCGAGAAGAGACTCTTAAAGAGCTTAAAGATAAAGTCGTTGTCATCTCAGGTATATTGAGCCCTTCTAAAACTTCTCCTTTCATCTCTCACATCTACACTCACCACTTCACATTCCACATCTCACTACCTCATTCCTCTCAACTCAACTCAACTCCATAGCCAGGAAAAGTAAAACAACACAGACAAACTGACTTCAACTCACCCCCAGGCTCCGCCCACGGCATCGGCCTCGCCACAGTCCAACTCCTCCACACCCACGGCGCCCACGTAATCCACGGCGACTGGGACTCCCAAGCCGGCTCATCAATCGACTCCTCCATCGCCTCCTCCTCGGCATCAAAAGTCCAAGTCCCCGACGGCTCAACGACATTCGTGCAAACAGACGTCACAGACTATGATTCTGTGCTGAGGCTGTTTGATACGGCGTTGAAGAAGCATGGGAGGGTTGATGTGGCGATTAGTAATGCGGGGGTGCAGGAGGCGGGGGAGTGGTTTGAGAAGGGGTTGGATTTGGAGGGTGTTAGGACGGTGAGTTTTGTCCCTAGTTCTAGTATCTAGATTTCTTGTTTTTGAGATTCAATTCCTTTCAGAGGCGAGCCAAGACTGTTCAGTTGGGCTGATGATAAGTAGAAACCAACGACCAAAACTCTCGATGTGAATCTCCTCGGTTGCATGTATTTCGCCCGCATAGCTTGCGTGTATCTGAAAGAAGGAAATACAGCTAAAGCAGATAAATCTCTTATCCTCGTCTCTAGTACTGCTGGATTCAAAGAAACACCTGGGATATTTGCCTATACGGCTGCTAAACATGGTGTTATTGGGTACGTTTCTCATTCTTTCTGCTCTCTTCTCTTCTCCTCACTTTCGCGCTCATTCTCAAATCCCCTTTATTCTCCAAATCCATCTCGTCTATTTATTCCTTTTACTCCTCTTCCCGACCCCAAAATCCATTCTCTTCCCCCACACAATCCCAAAATCCAATTCCAAACCCCCAAAAACACCAAATCCAAATCCTCCCAACACCACTAACCCCCTCCCCCCCAAAACACAGACTCCTCCGCTCCCTCCGCCCCTACCTCCCCACAACCCACCACATCCGCACCAACGCAATCTGCCCCTGGATGACCGACACCGCCATGGTCCTCGGCATCCGCGACGCCTGGCTCGCTGCCTCGCTGCCGGTAAACACGCCTGAGTCGGTGGCGAGAGTTATTGTTGAGACTGCTCTGGGTGCTGTTCCTGAGGGGGAGGAGAGGTTGAAGGATGAGGGGGTGGTTGAGGGGGAGGGGAGGGGGAGAGATGGGAAGGCGGCAGATGGGGAAAATGGCAAAGGGGAAAATGGGGATGGGAAGGGAGAGGGGAAGGTGAGGTATAACGGGAGAGCGGTTTTCGTTGAGGGGGGGAGGGGCTGGGATATTGAGGTGGGTATTGAGGGGACGGAGGAGAGGTGGTTGGGGAGGGAGGTTAGTAGGACGCTGGGGAGGGGGCAGGTTGTGTTGGGGGATGGGAAGGATTGGTGAAGCGAGGTGAAGTGAGGTCTGAGTTGAGGTTCACTCGCTTAATTGAGAGCTCGCCTCAACGGCATGTCAGAAATTCACTGGTTGTAAATAGTTGAACTGGACTTTTGTCTTGATTGAGTACATTATTGCATTACTCTTAACACCTCAAAGTGTTTACGCCTCAACTTTCAACCCCGGTCCTGGCCCAGGACCCTGCCCCTCCAAGCCGCCCGCACCATCTTTCAACAACCCCTTCAACTGCTTCAGCGTATCCTCACAACCGACCTCCATCCCCATAAGCACCTCCGCACTCCCCTTATTATTAATGATCAGCTGCGTAACCAGCCAGTAGTTGTATCCATTGCGGAAGAAGCCTAGACAGGCCCATGAGTTGCTCGGTATAGATGCGCGGATTGTGATCCAGAGGGAACGCCATCGTGAGAGGGCCGCTTTGATGAGTGCTATGTTGGAGGTTGGCGTGGATGGTGAGGTTGAGGGGTGGGCTGTGGATGGGGGGAGAGGGGTGGATGATCCGGATGTGGAGGGTGAGCGGGTGAGTGAGTGGGGGAAGTGTGTTATCTGGGTGTGAGCTGAGACGTAGAGGACTGTCGGTTCAATTAGCATTGATACCACTGAGTCGACGTGGATTAGGTTTCGAGAATGCAGACTACGTACGATGAATCATAATAAACATATCCATTGGATTCAACCCTAGAGAATTGCCTTTGGTACCATGGCCAGGTGCCTGACTCGGTCTGAAAAGGCTCTGAAATGCTTCCATTGTCGTCAGATTACGACTTAGCACAAAATTGCGCTGACTGAAGGGGTGCATAGTAGCGAAGAATGCTTCTTCACTTGGAAGATCGAATTTCATTTCTGACATGGAGAGACGACAGGGAAAGTTGGCAAAGAAGGAGAATGCGCAATCGAGGAGAGTCATGATATTTATGAGTCTACTGGCGTATTAGCGATATTGGATCGGGGAAGGGAGTCCGAGGCTTACCGTATCCGAGATTCTTGTTGTAGCCATAATATTTCATCTTGGCTATCTTCGAACTCATGTCGTGCTTTGGTAAGACCAAGTCTTCTTGCTACCTGTTTCTTGTCAGACTAGTTTGTGCAAGGAATGATTGAATGACTACCTTCACCACGACACCAAACCTAGTGTCTGAAGCACGTTTCCTGGAGATCATACTTCCTGCCCAGAACTGTACACATACCATCAGATATGCTGCTTGTAGGTACTGGAAGGCCAATACGCTCAGTTCAATAGATTCTGGTGCAGATATAGACGGCACTCTCAGCATATGCCGGATCTCATACTCATCCGTCAAGTCCTCTAATGAGTAGACATACAGTTCCACCAAATCTAGTACCAGCTTGGCCGTGCTGACTTCCGTGTCAACTTGGGAATACATGGCGCCCATCAGCACCATCGAGGCGAGAAGTGGTATTGGAGCGGTGTCGATAGTGAAGGATGGCTGGTGGATGATTGGACAGTGCGGATGCCAAAACTCGAAATAAAGGCTGACGAATTTTTCGATTCGCGATGGCGTGAAAAGGAAGTTTAGATTTTGCGATACGTGCTCCTGTTCGGGAGGGCTAATCTGTAACGATAGAGCTTTTCCGAATATAGCTTCAACGACTGCAGCGGATTGCAAACTTGGAGGTTCCCAGTCCCCAACATATGACCATCCAGTGATTGGCTGTTCGGCTCCATACATTGGGACTTCACCGAAAGGACTACTCAGAAAGCGTAGAAGGTTTTCTTCCTCGAACAAAGACCAGTCGATAGATTCATCGTCAAATGCATCGGAAGGAGCGCTTCCATTATCACTGATGTTTCCGAAGATATCAATCACGTCAGCTGAGTTTGAGGCTGTGTGGGCGTTCCGGAAGTTGAAGATATTCCTTCGTTCGTGCGAGGATGGGAAGCGGAAGCATTCGATGAAACTTGCGGTGCCAGAATTGAGAAGGAAGTTAATAGACCCTCTATCGGACTGACTGTTCTCTACTCCAGACTTCGGAGCTGAAGTGATATGAGCGAAGTCCGGTGAGCGAGACTAGAAGATGACTTACTTTCGCTTCGGACCGTCACCCCTTTCGATAACAACCTCGAGTATTTACAGTCTATTCTCTTATGTCGACAGGTTTTACAAGGGTTGTTTCCATCACAGCCAAGCTTCATGGATGTGCACTTGGTAGGTTAGTCAAGCTTGAGCATGGACCAGAATTGGGCACTCACAGAATCACATGCATGTGACCTTCTACCACCTCTTGCTGCTTCTGGTATTGAGCGATTCTTTCTTTCGGGACATGTTGGATAATGATCTCGCAGGTTATCACTGCACCTCATCAGTCTTATATCATTTACAGGATGGGCAAAACTTGCCTTCTCGTGAAAGCATCATTGCAGAAAATACATGAATAAGGTTTGACTCCCGAATCTGTACCACAATCAGCATAACCCGACTCCCTTCAATGTTAATCGAACTCTGATAAATCAATCACTTACGCCTCAGTTGATGTCTCTTCAAGTGGTCTGTTCTTGAGAACCTCTTGCCGCAGACGGAACATTGTACTCCCTTGGTGGGGCCATCTCCTCCTATCTTTGCCATACTTGAAGCCGAGGACGGCATGCCGAGAGCTAGGCTACCTAATTGACAGAGAATAAGGTCGGGCCGTAGGCGTAGGCGTAGGTCAAAGGATCGGGGAGTCGATGTTTATCTTCAATGGGGAGGAGATGGGGGAGGAATGGATGTCGTAATGAAGGATATCTTGGGGTCGGCACGGAGGTGTTGTCCCAATGGAAGGGGTGTTGTCGCAGTGGTGGTAGCGCAGCTTTCCCCGCAGATCTGGAATCCCCACCATCCTCGCTAGCGGCAGGACATTGGGTGCAACCACCACCAGAAAGGGTCACCCCTCCGACAGCTTGCTGACACATCCTGACCCGAACACTGTCCAGGTCTAGTGGGGCTCGAGGGGAGGCTGGGCTGGGCACGAAAGGAGCAGCATCCTGGGTCTGGTAGGAAGTTGAGAGTTCACGTGGAGGGCATATCGGCAGTGCTGTGACTGGACAGCCAGAGGCGAGAGCTCCACATCGTGTACATGGTGGCTTGCTTTATCTTCTTCAGGATATCTCTGCCGTCCTTTGACATCACTTGAAGGTCGATGAGAAACGATTGTTGAGAGATTGATAAGCATTTAAAAAGGGAAGCCAGCAATCCGTGCAACAGTTCTTAGGATTTTAGAGCCTCATGGGGATGAAAGAAGAGTGTTGTTGAAGCCTTACAGGAGCTTTAGAACTTTGGAAGCTTAGAACTCTTTGCCAAGACGAATTCTCATGCGAAGCTCGACAGAAAAGAAGCTGCGAAGTCTAGCTTGACAAGCCGAGAAGGAAATAAGACGTAAATTGCAGTCAAAGTAACAGCTCAAGAACCCGAGTGGAAAATTCCGTATCAAATAGAAGCCCTTCCCTTGGAAGCGGAGAGATATCAGACCCAAGATACTCGCACTGTTGAATATACTCAAGATAACAACTTGAAATTGGATCAGCCGCAGAAAAAGCAAAAATTACTAGGGCTCCAGAAACCCTAAAGATGTTCTGCTATTTTAGCAGGAAGCTTCGAACATGGTTCAAAGCTCGAGAAATGATTTCTTTCGATCGTTTTCAGAGCAGATCTTCGAATCCAAGTAAACAAAGAAAATCTATGAGTAGGACTGCTTGACTACAAATACGAAAGTAAAGAAAATCCCTCGATATGCAGAAACAGGGCGAAGCAGCATTGTCCCTCGTCCATGAAATGACCCCGCGCTGAATGAAGCCGTGTGCACAGCTCTCATGCCCATGTCCTAGAGTCGGATAGCAAGTACCGCTTAGTACCAACACCACCACTCCACTGCTTGAGTACGGCACATATGTTCTTGACTAAAAACAAAAGCCAGGTACTCGTACTTCAAGAAAAATGGATCCACAACTCGAATTCAAACATGGAAAAACCCAGATGTTCTTGGAAATTTCAGTCGGGGAGGAGTATCATGCCATATCGATAGCAATAGTAACCGGCACCATAGCCTAATAACTATCAACCACAACGGAGATACTCCTCGGATTCCCCAGAAAGGAGATAGGCAGAATTTAAATATGCTGTAAAGAGTTAGACCCACAGATTCGCATCATTCTGACGAAGTCACACATGACTACTGACAAGGTTCGGAAATCTCCCCAGGCGACATGTTAGCCGTTGTTGGTGTCCTGAGATCTTGTCGGGGAGGAAGGTGGGATGGGATGGACACTGAACAGTCAGCTTGCTTCAGGGCCTGACCAAACTGTGGAGACCCCTCTCTCGCGAATCTGTCAGCGCTAACCCCACTGTTAGCCGCCTGGCTAGAATATCGCTCAGCAAACGGTAATCATCACTCATCCAAGTCCTCGGCGGTGGTTTTCGTGTCTTCAGCTACAGAACCGGGATCCAAGGTTCACGACAGCGTCATGTTGTATTGCCCTAAGCATTTGAGACTCCTAGTCTCTTGTACTAGGTAGGTATGGCCGATCAGGTAAATATGGAGCAGTAACCTGCTCCTTCTTGTGTCTTTCATTCGTGTCTTCACTTTCCTGTTTCTCCACTGCTGGTCTGCAATCATGCCAGTGTTCACAGAATATTCTACTTCTTCGCGTGACTTACGCGTTCTTCCTTCTTTTGCCCCTCCACTGCCACGTCTAACACCCAGTTTTGAACCCGTCGAGGGCGAGGAGAGGTATGAAGTTGTGATTGCGGGGGTGAGTATCCAATTCCAAGCCTCCCAAGCCACCACTGATAATTTCCAGGCAGGACCAGCAGGTTTATTTCTCGAAGTCCTCCTCGCACGGTACGGCCTCAGCGACAAATCCCTCCTCTGTATCGACTCGAAACCCACTGCCTTGAAATCTGGCCAAGCAGATGGTCTGCAACCACGGACACTGGAAGTGCTGAAGAGCTTGGGACTGGCAGACGAGATCCTGACAGAAGGTTGTCAGATGTGGGAAGTGGCATTTTGGAATCCAGCTCAAGACAAGAATGGAGGAATTGAGCGCACATCAATCGTGCCAGACGTTGCGGTTGCGGCGAGGTTCCCTCACGAAGTCACAATCCACCAAGGACGAATTGAGCGCATTCTCGAGGATGATCTTAGACGGTACTCTGCACGTGGCGTGCAAAGATCTACCAAACTTACAAAGGTTGTGCTTGATGAAGCTGGAGATGCGGAGTTCCCTGTCCTGGTGGAGATGGAGGGGCCAGAAGGCACACGAAGTGTTCGGACGAAACATTTGGTGGGAGCAGATGGGGCACACTCACTGGTTCGCAGATCAATGGATTTCAAGCTAGAGGGGGAGACTTCGGATTTTATCTGGGGTGTTGTGGATTTTGTCGCGGATACCGACTTTCCTGACATCAGACGACGATGTGCGATACATTCGGATAATGGGAGTGTGATGGTCATTCCGAGAGAGAGGATCGCGACTGGAGAATATTTGACGAGACTGTATGTCCATGTTCAGGAGGAGGTGAAGCCTGAAAGTGACATCGCTGGAGAGGAAGGCGTGAAAGGCGCCAGTAAGGCGGAGTCAAAGGCCAGGAGAGAGAAGATTACCATGGAGAGCATATTTGCACAAGCGCAGGAAGTTCTCAAGCCATACTACATCAAACCGAGACGGGCAGATGCTGTGGATTGGTGGGCTGCATATCAGATTGGACAGAGAGTATCCGAGAACTTCGTCAAGCAGGATTCGAAAGGCGTGAATAGAGTGTTTATTGTGGGCGATGGTAAATCCTCCCTCCTCCCTGTCAACTTCAACGCTAATATTCCCAGCCTGCCATACTCATAGCCCAAAAGCCGGCCAAGGCATGAATGTGTCCATGATGGATTCCTATAATCTATCATGGAAGCTTATGCATTATCTCAACGGCTTATCTCCGATCACTAATTCTCGAGACACCATCCTCGATACTTTCGAGACAGAACGTCTCACCATAGCTAAAGAGCTCATTGCCTTCGACAAAGAGTTCTCGTCCATGTTTTCAGGCAAGATTGGTGCCGAAGGAACAGAAGGTCTTACACATGACCAGTTCCTTGAGGTCTTCAGCACAGGAAATGGATTTACAAGTGGCTGTGGAATTGAATATCCCGAGACTTCATTGGTTGAGAAGAATATTCCTACAGGCTTGGTAACCGGCTCGGATTACCTCGGTGGCATTCTGAAGCCCGGTAGGAGACTTCTCAATGTGAAGGTTAAGAGACATGCAGATGGCTACAGGCGAGATCTGCAAGATGGTAAGTCACTGCCCTCATTTGACACTTTGCAAGTACTCATCAGCTAGACTTCCCCTCCACCGGCCGATACCGCATCCTTGTCCTCACATCAACCGACCTCCTCACCCCAAGCAGCCCCTCTAGTCAGTCCATCGCCCATATCCCCTCCCTCCTCGCCTCCTTCCCAGCAGGCCTGATCGAGCTTGTCGTATTACATCCTCTTCCCTCCAACACCTTTGAATGGAAAGATCTCCCAGTAGCAGTGAAAACCCATGCTGAGATGAGTTTCTACAATGGCACGGAACTGCAGGATGCGTATGCTGTTTATGGAGTTGAGAAGGAGAGAGGGGCAGTGGTGGTTGTGCGACCGGATGGGTATGTGGGTTGTTTAGCTGAGTTGGGGAAGGGTGAGATGGGCATGGGGAGGGTGCAGGGGTATTTGAAGGCTTGTTTGAGGGTTGTTGGGGAAATGAATGGGCATAGTTGAGTGAGGATGTGATGCATGTTCTCTGTTTTGCTTAATAAGTGATTTCTTGAACATGAAGATCACGAGAGTAGTATGTTAATCTACGCGCGTTTTCTAGGAGAACTCAAACGTAGTGCATCTTGAAAGTTTACATTCCAACGAAGAAGCAACTCATCAAACACATCGCACATTTTCCACTTCGAACATTCCTTCCAGGCAGTTTAGCATCTTCCTCCAAGACAGTAACCGCGAATCGCCTACGAACCCACCAACATCCTCCCCACCCCCCAATACAGGGTTTCTCCTTACAATCCACAGTCCCTTCCTCCAAACCGTGCGTCTCCAATCTCTAAGAAACCCCCCTCCAAGAATTCTATCAGATGCTACCACCACGAGCCCATCTCCTCATCCCCAAATAACACCCAATCGCCGACGCCACAACCATAAACGCAAACCCAGCGATGATAGCAATAGTCGCTATTCCGAGTTTCTCCTGTGGCTTTAGTGGTGTTGGTTTGTTGTGAGCGAATGCTGCTATGTCGAGGGCTGGGCTTTGAGAGCTGCTGGTGGTGGTTTCTCGCTTGTGGATGGTTTGGGACGACGGTGGGGGTGTTAGGGATGGTTTGTTGATGGTTCGCTTAATCTCTTGGGTGGAGAGGGTCGGTTGAACACGACAGCGGAGGTTGGCAAGGATGGAGAATGGCGAGGACGGAGATGGTAGCTGTGCAGAATACAAGGCAGATGAGGGTATTCAGGTTCATGGTGTACTCTGCTGTTGAGAGTTGATTGGTGGAGTGGGTTTTGTGCGATGGAAATGCTTGGAGGGTGATGGAGGAGCGGTCGATTATTCATGTTCGGACGGAGGTTGGCGAATTACAATCATCTAAGTGGTTACGTTCTGAATGCGTAACATAAGACATGTGCTTATTGTCCTACATATTGCACTTTCCTCATCGAGTCAACGCCCGGGACTCATTTGTGTGAGACTATGAGACAAGAGGCGTGGAATATCATATAATCGGATCACTACCACCTTTCCCTCCAACCTTTTCTACCTGATTAGTCAGGCCAGTAGATCGGTCTCACCCACATTATGAGCAATCTTCACCCGGTTGGTATGATCTCCCCATTGGCCTCACAAGTACTCGAATGCTGTTATGCTGTTTCAGACTTCTTGGTCCGATTTGATAATAGAAGCAACGAACTAGATTGACAGAATTATATCTACTACCCTTGACCCACCCTTGGTGACTTTCGGTTTAAGCTTACATTACATCTTGACTACTTCGCGATCCAATACATCACTGACCATACCAGGATCATGAACAGGGCAATGCCTCCTATCGTAACAGCCAGCTCTGCACCCTTGCTTAGGTGAGACGGATGTTCCTCGCTATCCTCGTATCTTTGTTTTCTCCTGTTGGCGCGGGTCTGTCTGAAGATGTTGAGATTCTGGCACAAGGACGTTGCTTGGAGTGCTGACTGCTGGTTGGAGGTTGGTTTATTTTACAAGTGGAGACGGTTGCGTTGTAAGGCTGCAGACTGCAGTTGCGAGGACAGCAACAACGAGGAAGGGGATCTTCATGTTGTCACGATGTTAGATTACTTTGTAAACGCGGTGAGAGAGAATGAGAATGGAAAAGGGGAAGGAAGAAGGAGTTGTTTTATACTTGGCTGACATCAAAGGTATTCATGGGGATGATTATTTATATTGCAGAATGTTTTATTGTCATTCACAAAGGGTTAAAAGAAGATTTAACAAGCTAAATCACTAGTCTGGGGGCAGGATCTGAATCTCAGGAGAGTCAAATGAGCTTGTTAATGGTACTTGCCATCAAGGGGTGCTCGTAGTCTGAAAAAACCATCAACTGGACTCTTCCGAAAGATTCAAGCAGGTGTTCCACAATCATCTTCTTACTTCTTGTGCGGATGCTATCAAATCATTCCCAAAATACTGATTGCATCCACCGCATTCCACACAAAAAGCAGGCCTCAAAGAGCGAAAGCAACCCCAAAGATTGTGCCGAGTATGGGTCCCGCACGGTAGCTATTTCCCGAAGATTTCTCCTCCTCTTCCTCATCCTCTCCCAATTTCACATCCTTCTTGCGACGACGCTCAATCTCCTCCTCGTCCCCTTCGATGCGAGGGTGAAGGAGGGTATCAATACCGTAATAGATGACAAGGCAGATCCAAACGAGTAGGAGGGATGCGAACATGAATCCAATGGCGATTGAGGCGATGCAGCCGAGTTTCAAGCTAGAGGGATCCTTCTTTGCAGCATCTGGGATGGATGTCGGGTCTGGGAGGATGCCAGGGATTGTGAGGGAGAAGGCCGTGCCTGCCAGAATGGCGACGATGCTGAAGGTGGTGTGCTTCATCTTGATGGTGATGTGCTTGGTGGTTTACGCTTGTGGTTATTGCGAATGGGCTAGGACCAACAATGGCTGGATGTGATCGAGATTTCGAGTCACTACTTATTATATCTTTGAAACAAAGAATGAAAGGGAATGCTTTGAAGTCGAACTTCTCAAAGCACTCGCCGCTTAGTAGACGCCGCGCTAGTACTCGTTGTCAGGCAGACAAACACATTCACACACCTCATTGTTCTGCAACTCTGTTGTCACGGAAGGCTATGACTAATAACAGTTGATGTCGTGTGACAATGTCATTCAGTGAAAATGCTCAAGTCGCAAGCCAGACAAAGGACACTAAACGTTCAAAATAGATCGCATCCAAACAAACCTCAGGCGGGTCGCACGTGAGCTTGTCCAAACGACTTGAGCATCACCTTGCGTGTATTTGTATATTATATACAGTTGTCTAATAGGCTCTAAGAAGAGTGAGCCAGTAGACACACTTTTACAGGGCACAACACTAAAGCGAGGCGCCACGATTCTGATGTTTGCCTATACTACAGCGCAGGTGCATTAACTTTGGACCCTACAGAAAGTGTGTTCCGAATGGCAGCCAAGGGGATATAGAGCTGGTGCGCCACCCATAACCCAAAAGCAAACACACTGCATTTCCCACGTCTCATTTTTTTTTTTTTTAAAAAAAAACTTTGAAAGAAATATCTCTAACCCCCATCCGATCTCCACTATCTGCTTGGAGAACATACTCGCAAGCTGTAAAGAGAGGAGCGGACCTGGGCGTAATTTTGCTTTTGTCTTCCAGTGGGAAGTGAATACAATAAGAACCAATAAAAGAAAGCATTGGACTAAAGGCATCGGTCTTGAAATGAAAATGGCTAAGCATTGAATATCATTTGAAACCTTTTCCTACGACGACAGATTGTTCTGACAAAAGAAGTCACAGAAATCTGTTACTGAATCAGGTCAGATGCCCTTTCATTGAAACACCTGCCCTCACCACCAGCGGCCAATGAAGCAATCTTCACCACGTTCTTAACCTGCCTCCCATCTTATTCTTCCTTCGCCAACTCGTAGAAGTCCCGAGGTCATTCTCGGAAATAAACTGAGCTTCACAGCAAGTCGCTTCATAAGGTTCAATCGGGTGAGTCGAAGGCTGAGTCGAAGACTGAAACGTTGGCTTCTATACGATTCGTGGTAAGGAACATCAGGCCTTCGTAGTACTCCAGAGATTGAAGGGAGACTGTACTGTCAGCTTAGCATAACTTTCGTTCGGAGAAGAGCCCTCGAAATCTATGCATTTCCATCGCACAAGATGCTGGTAGTAAAAAGGAAAACGTACATGACTCTGTTTCAAGCATGTTTTCGACTCCAGAGAACCCATGAAGGAGAATAATTCTTTCTTGACCTATAGCCTGTCAGTATTATCTGAGAATAAGGTGTATGAACTTACACCTTTCTAGCCCACGAACCTCCTCTAAATGTGTCCTACTGTTGCCAATTGTATTGCTTGCCATGCATAAAATGGTGTCCCTGGCGCAATATATTTATATGCCCCGTCGCTGTCCTCAGACCTAGACTCTGCCTCTGACACGGCATCTGGGATATGACGCTCTAGCCAGCCAAGAATAGCTTCCCCGAACTTCCTCGCAGTCCTAGAGCATGCTTTAGAACACGCCTTAACGAGTTTCTTCATAATTATTTTCAATAGCAATGCCTTGAACTTCAGTCTTGGGACGTCTATATGGTAGAAGATAACTGATCTTTGTGGATGAGAAGAGATAGAGAATTTGTCTGAGAGTAGTTTATGTGGTGTAGTAAGGGCAAACCAGTGTTAGCGTACCATACTTCAACACTCTGGATGGGACGAATTGGGTTCTAGGTTGCATCGCTTGTAGCGGCTTTCAGGATTTGCCTCTAACCAAATCGAGATCTAGATTCTGGGAATCCGGCAAAAATCACGAGCGTGGCTAAGCTGGGTTCTCAGAGCCTACTGTAGAAAACTGTGAGAATATTGTGTATGGTATACAGAAGAGATTGCCTAATTTTTCTCAGTCTATGGTCGTATGTGAAGGATAGGCACTGTTTCACGTATATATACCATCCTCGATGGCGGTGAAACCGTTTCCTCAAATATGGGAGCGCCTCAAGTATGTATTGTGGGTGGCGGACTAGTTGTATATATCCCTTGGGTACTGCTCGAGATTTTCAGTAGTAGGGTGTAGCAATAGAGTCGCGTAGACACTTGCCATGTTGGTGAGGAAGGTGCCAGCTCTACAGGTCAAAAATTGGATTAGATTGAAAGTAGTTGCCCGGTGGATACCGAAACAGCATGAGTGGAAGCAGAGTCCTTTCAATACCTAGTTCTGGCAAGTATATTCGTTTCCTTGTCTTTCTTTTATCAACATCAGCGAATTCAGCCAATATGAATAACATCATCATCAATAACAACAACATTGTTATCAACAATGGGCCAGCGATCAACCAGTTGTAAGTATATCATCCCTTATTTCGATGTAGTGCTTTCGACCATGCAATACTAGTACTGACTTACACTTAGCCAGCCACAATACCCCAGCCGCCGTCAGAGTGAACCATCCAGCACCCGTTCTCAACCTTTCTCGCACCTCCGAGCAGACCTCAATCGCCCCCTCCTCACCCTCTCAGAGCGGTACGTGGACCTTCGACTCCAACTTTCCGAACACACTTGGGAAGACCATACCCACTGATATAACATACATAGCTTGGCCGACGAACCACAAACTTTTTCCGGTCGGGCGTGGGAGGTGATGACACAGTGGTGGCGGTCCGTCCGCGAGAGGTGGAGGGTGATGTAAGTGATACTACTCAGTATTACCTTGGGATAGTAACTAACGCTTTCAAGTCGGAGATGGAAACGCTGGATGGTTTGCCTGACAGTAGTGGGTATTGTGTTTGGAATAGTTGATCACTTCATCCGTTGGTGTAAGCGTTAGCAGGTATGGGACGAGGAGAATATCCACGCACCAGAAACATAAGTATAGTATTTTAGTGTATGGCATTGACCTCATATGCTTGCGTCAATACTTTTGGGATCAGAAATTGATTAAGAAGTCATGATCTGGTTCCAGTACATTATCATAATCTTTGATCTTGCTGAATGTCATCCACCGACCTTCCAAGCCCAGGCAGAATACCGAAGTACCAAGCGACCAGCGCAAGACATCCAACAAAGCCGTAGACACCCAACGTCCAGCCAAGTATAAAATCTCGGTTGCTACCCCCTAACTTCTGGTTCATGATCACCCCATCATCGGCCTTCGAATGTTTCAATCTTCCGTCGGTCATGCCACCTTTCTTTTGACTTTCGGCTCTGTTGACTAGATAGACTGACTTGTGTAGTTGATCTTCGTTGCTTTGCTCCGAGGGGCCAAGAGTGGCTCGGGCATGACGAAGCCTGTGGCGTAGACGTTGGCGTTACCGTTACTGGCTGCAGGCGAATGCAGGGTATCGGGCGCGGCTCCCACTTCAACGTGACTGGCAGTAGAAAACAATACTCCACAGAATAGGAGATTAAAGAATAAGGAAATTATATTCATGCTGTTGACGCGGAGCTCAGAATGGGGTGATGGGTAGGTCTATTGATGCCCGAGCAGTTCTCCTTGACAGCCTGGAGAGGTAGATAACGTCTAAAGCACATGCTCAAGAAATTTTATAGAGAACCTGGAGTTGTTTGTGATTCACGAAGTTGCCACTAGACTAATACTTATCATCACCGAAATGCCTCATTTGACTCTTCCTTATAGCTGACCCTACGTGGTCTTTTTGTAAACACAGACTGCTGTTGCCTGATCATGAACGTCAGCACAACGACGAAATTATAGATGACATCTGTGGAGGCTAGGACACAAGGACTAGGATGGTTTGTGTCCCAGCATATAATGCTGGCTGGTACATCTGGTCGAGGACAGATTATGTGCTACTTCAGTTGTGCCTGCGCACCTTACAGGCCGACACAAACGGGCCAGCCTTCCCAGTGAGCGTTTCGGAAAACTAGACTGGTAGCATATTCGACAAAGACAAACAAAAGTGAGAGAAATCCAGAACAGTATCATACATTCCAACTAACACGATCTATTGATATCTGAGGCACCCAAACGTGTGTGACAGGCCAATCAAGGCCATCTACTCTTTCGTACGCTTCTGCGACGTGAAGGCATCGGATTCAAGCTGCAAGACTCCGAGGGGCAGTGATCACATGGGGATTACGATCCACTGTAGCAGTAGGGAGTGGCAAACCTGGATCCACTTAGCACATACGACTACTGTGGAAACAAACTTCCCTGCTCCACGCCATCTAATCATAAAGTTATCTCCTGCTACTCTCATAGCCTCCAGATTTTCACAAGGGAGAAAGGCGAAATCCTCCTTGATGGCCGTACAAGCAGGGCGAGGTTGGTCTAGCGCGTAGGTCATAAAACTAGTAGGTAAGATACTGGCATGCTCATAGTCTACGATATAAAGGTCGCCTTTGTCTGTAAAAATAAAGTTTCCTTCATAGAGATCCGAATAACAGAAGCATAAATCTTCATTTTGAAAATTGATGCTTAAGCGATTCGTCTCAGGCATATTTGCAAGCTGGTAGACCAAGTGTCAGTCTTGGTATCTCTAGTACTTTAAGAGCAACTTACAGCTTGAACATGATCTTGTAAGGCATCGACTGAGAATACTCGACTGAAGCAACAGCATCTTTGAAGAGGGGATGCCGAATGGTCCCTCCACCTATCGGTCCAGGGGAGGCGTTGTCAGGAACTTCGAAAGAAAGGAACAGCTTAAGTGCTCTAGAAACTTGGTTGAAGTACAGGTCGTGTAAGATATCCTGGTTAAGCAAATCTTTGAGCGTTTGGCCCTGGACGTACTCCATGACGATATATCTTGTAGAAGCTTCTTCTAGCACGCGGTAGATTTTAGGTACGTGGATCCCGATTCGTTCCTGCTCGTGTAGTGCTTCAAGCGCATTGAAGGCGAATTTCTGGCTGGATATTTCTGACTCAACTCCAGACTGTGAACCTGCAATCTTGATGAAAGCAATCGGGGCATTGTGAGAGGGGTACACTACAGTGCGTGCACCATGGCGGTAATATGCTCTGCAAAACTTCAAGATCTCCTCATTTGAAGGAAGCTGCACTGACATGGTGACCGGTGGGCGAGGTGCTGACACTGATCCAAGAGAGAGAAACTGGAAGCATAGTAGTCAAGCACATTTAGTGACGACGCGACGTAGAGTGAGAGAGCGAATAATACAAAACCGGCACTGGCAGAAAATGGCGGTGACCTGTCAAACGCCTTAGCTGCACCAGGAACGCTCTTCTAAATGCACTGTAAAAGTCCACTGAAGCGAGCTCCTAAGTTGCGAAAAGAAGTGAATATTAGTGATCCTTACAGGCTGTGATGCCCTGTAAAGTCACTGAAGCACCCACTGTCTGTTTGAGCTTGGCGGCGTGCCTGTGGGGAGGCGCTTCTAGCAACTAAGCAACGAAGTAAGGGGATACACAATTGCATAGAGAACATCTAAAGCACAGATTCAAGAAAATTTATTAAAAACATAGATTTATCTTATAAATCACGAAGAAGTACTTTCGCCTTGTTACTCTTATTACTAGACATATCTTTATCGTCACAGAACTGGCTTAGTCAACATATTCTGAATGAACATTCGGTGACAAAGTCTTGGCTTGCTCGCGAGGGTGGCTCAACCGCGTCTCGGACTTCGCCCAATTGCAAGGCACAAAGTTCTAGCTTCATGCAAATATGTTTGAAGAGAAGACTAGAATCTCCCATGACATATATTATGGACAAAGAAATTCAACCCTTCTTTCAGATTTTGCAGTGACGAGCCGAGAGGTCTTCCGCTCCACCTCCACCTCCGGATCACCCCGCCCCCACATTTACCCCGAACCCCGGTGTCTCCGGATCCATATTCTTCCTTTTTGGGATCCATATCAACAGCCGCAAGTTTCACATTCCATGGGATTTATCGTTCTTCATGCTCATCATAGAAATATCGTCTCTTTGACAAGCAGCCCCTTACCATCAAAATGCTACAATTGACCCTTCTCACAGTCCTTGTGCCAATCCTTTTATGTATTGGATTGATCAAGGTAGGGATGGGCCACTCTTGAGAGGACTTCACATTAATGCTTTCAGTTCATTCATTACAGCCTTACTGATCCACTAAGCAAAATCCCTGGACCTCGACTCAACCGCTACACAAATGTAGCCTTGAAACTTCAAACTATGCGTGGACGGAGAGTTCACTACATCCATGAACTGCACTCAAAGTATGGCCCAACCGTTCGTATTAGTCCAAGCGAAGTCGCTATATCAGACTTGGCTTCTACCCGCGAAATTCACCGTATTGGCTCAGGGTATCTCAAATCTGAATGGTATGCCAAATTTACTGAGGAGAGCGAGGAGTCCCTAGGTATCTTTGCGATGATCGATGCCAAGCAGCATGCAGTACGGAGACGACTGTTCTCGGCAGCTTTTTCTCAAGCCGCATTGCTTCAATGGGATGATGTACTTCAATACAGAACGACTCTTGTGATCCAGAAAATCAAAGAGCAAGCGATGAGTAGAGGCGGTGCAGATATATTCTCGTGGTTTACATTCATGGCAACCGACATCATCGCCGAGCTCGGGTTTGGCGAAAGCCTGCACAGCCTAGAACATGGAAAGGTGATCTACCCCAAGTTCTTTGAGCATGTAATTGACTTGTGGGTACGGGCCTTGAATGCATAAAAGTTGACGATGAATGCAGAAATCAAGCTTCTCCGAGGATCTTGAAAAGGTCATGATGTTTTCTGGCCTTCGCTCAGAATTAGGCTTTGTCGCAACAATTCTATCCCATCTCCCAATCCCAGCAGTCCAATTCTGGCTTCAATCCGCGAAAAGAATAGCGGCTTACGGTACAGAGGCAATAGCAAAGAACAAAGCACTTGCAGATCGTGGAGAGACCAAAGACACGCTGTTCACTAAGATGCTCAGGGAATCAGATGAGAAGACTGGAACCCTGTCAGATGCTGACATACAGCGGGAAGCCGGCAATCTGATCGTTGCTGGAAGTGATACTACAGCTGTGACACTGACATATCTGGTGTGGGCGGTCTTGAAGCATCCCGAGATCAAACAAAAGCTGTTGGCAGAAGTCAGCAATCTTGGCAATAACCCGAGCAGCAAAGACACAAATGCTCTGCCCTACTTGACAGCTGTAATCAAGGAGACTTTGCGCCTATACGGAGCTGCGCCGGGTTCCTTGCCTCGTACTGTAAGTGTTGGTAGCTTTTTCATCCTTTCGATCCGTATTTCTAGTCGCCGTATTCCAGTATTTCATTCTAGGCTTTCCTGACTATGATGCTCAGGTACCAAGGGAAGGTCGAACCCTGGGATCCTACTTTATCCCGGAAGGAACTACCGTCAGCACCCAGGCTTACACACTACACCGAGATGCAAGAATATTCCCCGAGCCTCTTCAATTCAGACCTGAAAGATGGATAGAGCCAACTCAACAAATGAAAGACGCGTGGATGCCTTTTGGAGGAGGCTCTCGAGGTATTTAAAATTTCTTGCTTCCAAAGCATACGTTACTGATAAATCTAGTTTGCATTGGACTTCACCTTGCACAGGCCGAATTGACCCTTGCAGCTGCGAAGTTCTTCAAGGAATGCTCAAGCGCCACAGTCAGAACTCGTGATGAAGATATGGAACAAGAGAATTATTTCCTTGTTGCGCCAACGGGGCATAAATGCGAGGTTGTGCTTGGAAATTTGTAAGGCTCCGCTGTATATAGGTAAAAGAGATCCGGGGTCGTTGTCCATTCGGGTAATGATACACCCCCCCCCCTATTCTCCTATCCCCCCCCCCTATGGGGCCAACTAAACCCGATTAAAATATGAAGCTCGAACCTCAAAAAATCGTCAACGTAACTCAGATCACAACAATTCAACTCGAATTTATCAAGTAAGGGCGCAATGCCCGAGCCCCGGAGCTTGCGTAGGGCCGTGAGGGAGTAAGTCCCTTACGCAGTAGGCACAAGCCTTATAAAAAGATAGGTAAAATTTTGGATGCCGAGCGCAGCGGACATTCAGGAAACAGAGGATTTCAATTGCGTTCTGAAGGAATAAAAATAATCCAGCGCCGGTGGGACTCGTAGAACTTGAGTGGTTGAGTACTTATCGGATGCCCCATAGGGGGGGGGATAGGAGGATAGGGGGGGGGTGTATCAATACCCGTCCATTCCAAGGTTCGAATATTCTGGAAAAAGTTTATATATGCTTATGCATGGACTGGGAATATTTCCACAACGACAGTATGATATATATTGGCAGTATGCCTCACAGTACTTACTCGAAGTCACTCCCCTATCCGACACGAACAAATTATTTCGCTTATTAATTACATTGTTATAACCTTTCACTTCAGCCGAGTTAAGTTAATCATAAGGCTTCTTGCACGAGATAGGGTTTTGAGAGTTCCGAGTCAATCCCTGAGAGTTTCGAGTTATTTTCTAAGCTTAAAATCAAAGTTAAGTATTGAATTTACAGTATCAAAAGACAATGGCCAGTCGCAAACCCCTAAGGAGACTTTGAGCGTAGCACGGAGCTAGATGTGATGGACTGATCATGATAAGCGAGTCACGTAGGTAAGGCTAACGTCGTAAGGTTGTGAGGCTAGAGTTATATAGCGAACCTAGGACTAGCCTAGTTCACTAGCAGCTATATCCTCCTTACTTATTCTCGAGGCTCCTTAGGAACCTCTTCTTCTCGCTATCTTTTCTACTTTATATTATAGCTATTAATAAACCTTTATTATACTATTATATTAGAAAAGACTAACCTTACTTATAAAGGTCCTAATATCTACTTTTACTAAATTCCTTAAGTATTTTTCAGGTATAGTTAAGTTGTATCTTTAGCCCTCTTTTTTCTACTTTACCTCTTACACTTTATTATTTCCTTAAGCACTTTCTAAGTATAACTAAGTCGTATTTATAACTTAGGTACTATCTCTTACTTTTTATTTTTATACTTATACTTCCTTATAAGTAGTCTTAATCTTTTCTAAAAAAGTAATAGAATATAATATAGTATTCCTCCTGTTATTAAACCTACTACTTTACTAATACTAAGGGAAAGAAATCCGCTTTTAACCTCTTCTCTCTTATATATTACCTCTTATAAATGTAATAGTAGAGAGAAGAATAATATTATTCTCTTAATCTCCTATAGTAATACTATATCTCTTAAGGAGAATAATCCTTAGGACTAATAAGACTACTCTTAGGAGGAACGTGCTACTCTTATACTAATAGTTAGAATTATAAAGAGCTCTAAGGAACTTCAGAGACTAGCTAAGTGTAACGGTCCGGTATTTACTCGCTGTAAATACAGAACTGTTACACTTTGAGCACCTTCTTATCAGAGGTACCGACTCACGAAGATAACATATCCTCTGTTAAAGGATCGTTAAACGACTACTCGGCTCCTACTAAGGTCTTCGACTTAAAGAATATACCTAAGATCGCTGCCCCGGATCTCTATAACAGAGACCGATCTAAGCTTAGAGTATATCTTACGCAAGTTAAGCTTTATACGGGCTTTAACAGTTACTAGTTCGCTATAGAGACTAATAAAGTCCTTTAGGCTTTGTTCTTTCTCCGGGGATCTGCTTTCAACTAGATCGAGACCTTCCTCTTAGACTATATTTAGAACTGAACTAAAGATAGGAGAGTCTTTACGGTAATAACTAAGGAATCCTAGAAGATCTTTATAACCTTCAAAGGTTTCGAGTATAAGATTAACCGTGTCTTCGGCGATATTAATTAGAACTATACCGCTGAACGGAATATCTAGAACTTAAAGCAGGTTAGGTTAGTGACCACGTATACTATCGCCTTCTAGTAATTCACGAATTAGACTAGCTAGAATAACGACGCCCTTCGAGTATAGTACTATAAAGGGTTAAAAGATAGAGTAAAAGATAAGATAGTAAGATCGGACGCGCCTACCGACTTATAAGAACTTATCGAAATAGCTATTAAGATTAATAACTAAAACTATAAGAGGGCACTCGAGAAGAAAGGCTAATACTACTCCGGAATATATATATACTAAGGAAGAAGGGGTAATAATAAGAAACTATTCTATTTTTAGGAAATAGAACTTAACGTGACGTTCCGGAAGCTAAGTTATTAAGGAAAGCTACGTAGCAGCAGGCTATCTAAGAAAGTTATGAGTAAGTAACGAGAAAAGAAGCTATACTTCGAGTGTAGCTTTCCTAGTTATATAGCTAGCTCTTATCGATAAAAGAAGTCGTGGATAGATAAGAAATATACTAACGTAATAGGATATGGCTCTTATAATAAACTAATACGATAACTTACTACGACGTATTAATATATAACTATAGATAAGCTCAAGGAGAATCATATCTATACCTAGTTAAGCGATTCTAACGATAGTGAGTGAGATTCCGCGAGTGTTATAGATTAGCTTAAGTAAACTGTCGTTAGCACGCCCCCTGAGGACTATATATATTAAGATAACGATAGCTCTAGGCTAGATAATAATATAGAGCTAATACTAAGTGATAATAAGGAGGAGGCCTAGGAACCCGAGTAGACTCCAGAACTAGGGCTACCTTAACCTGAACTCTTAAGACTAAGAGTAAGTGAAACTTGGGAAGTTACCTAAAGAGAAAAGAGCTTATATCAAGTTAGCTATAATACTCGCTACTGGACTAATATAGCTACTAGGGTTACTTATTAAGAACTAGGCCTTGTCAGCTTAAGGGGTTTACTATAGGGGGTAAGGTACGAAGTAGTCTACCGGGACTATAAGCGTATCAGATAAAGAATAGCCGGCAGCTAGGAAGGACTGATAACCTTTATATAGTATTTATTACTCTAGAATACCGTTATTCTTAATACTAGCGCGCTACTAGAGGTAGGCAAGGAATAGGAAATCATAGCTAAGAACTAATATAATAGGATATAAGTCTATATCGATAATAACAGCTAGTACTATTACAAGATATATAACCTAGTAACATACACTAAACTCGGAATAGGGCTTATATATAAGGTTAGCCTAAGCTATAGTAATCGAAGGGTATAGGAAAGTGTCCTCGACTATAGTATATATTAGGAATATTTCTATATACGGTAACCTACTACTATTAGAGATAAATATCTTATGTTAGAAGTTAAAATTAAGAGAGTTAAGCTTTAGGTAATAGTAGACTCTAGGGCATAAGGGAACTTCATATCTCCTACTATTATACTTAAGCACTACCTGTTAATTAAAGTAAAGGATAAGGGATACTATCTAGTACTAGTAGATAATAAGGTTGCCTCTGATAGACTAATCGAGGTCTAGACTACTCTAGTCTATATAGGTATCGCCGGATACTCTGAAATAATCTAATTCGATATTATTAGGATTAGAAGGTATAATATTATCCTAGGGCTACTATAGATAGAAAAGTATAATCTTATTATCGATTAATAGATAGGAAAACTTAAGTTTAGTTATTACTAAGACTACTATTATCCACCGGGAATAGAAGCAGTAAGTATTCAAGAGGTTAGCGCTACTTCTAAGGAAGAGCTCGGATACTAAGATAAGGGTCTACTAATAAAGGATATACTATTAGTATATAAGAAGTTTACAGCACTGTTTAAGGAGGAACAAGGCATTAAGGCCTTACTAAAACACTAGGACTACAATTATCGGATCGAGTTAGAACTAGGTACTAAACTAATATTCTAACTACTTAGGGAATATTCCGCGATAGACTTAATAACAATTAAGTAATATATTAATAAAAACCTAGTGAAAGGATTTATCTAAGAGTCCAAATCTCTATAGGGGAGTAACGTCTTATTCATAGAAAAGAAAGATAGTAGATAATAAATATATATCAACTACTATCGATTAAATAATACTATAAAGAAAGATTGTTATACACTACTATTAGCCAAGGAGCTACGGGATAGACTCGTTAGAGCTAAGATTTTCACTTAGCTTAACCTACGAGGAGTGTATAACCTCGTTAGAATAGCTAAGGGAGAAGAAGAAAAGATAGTATTTCGCACTTGTTTCAGTTACTATAAGTATATAGTTATACCCTTTAGCTTAACTAATACACTAGCTATATTTCAGCGTCTAATTAATAATATTTTACGGCTTTACTTAGACGTAACGTGTATATACTATTTGGACGATATACTAGTCTACTCTAAATCAGAGGAGTAACATATGAAGGATGTTATAGCTATTCTCTAGAGGCTAGAGGACGCTTACCTATTACTTAAACTAGAGAAGTGTAACTTCCACGTGGATAAGGTTATCTTCCTAAGCTATATAGTTACTACCGCAGGATTAGCTATAGATCCTAAAAAGATTAAAGTAATTATTAAGTAGATAGGGCCCACGAATATTAAGGAAGTATAATTATTCCTCGGATTTACTAACTTCTACAGGCGATTTATTAAAGACTACTTGAAAATCGCTAGGCCACTTATAGAGTTAACTTATAAGGATAAGGAATTCTACTAGTCCGATAGTACATGAAAAGCGTTTAAGGTACTTAAAGCGGCTTTTATCACAGAACTAGTACTCACTTCCTTCACCCCTGATAAAGAAATACATATAGAGATAGATTCTTCGGACTACGCTATTAGAGCTATACTTAGCTAGCTAGGCGAGGACGGAAGATAGTAACTAGTTGCTTACTATTCGCGGAAACTATTACTAGCAGAACTTAACTATAATATATATAACAAAGAGTTGCTAGTAATTATAGACGTAGTACGCGAATAGAAAGTCTACTTTAAGGGCGCCGCCTATAAAGTACAGATCCTAACGGACTACAAGAATCTTATTTACTTTACAACTACTAAAGAATTGAACTAACGCTAGGTTCGATAGTATAAAACACTCTCTACTATTAAACTTTGAATTTCTTATATTAAGGGAACGGAAAACACTAGAGCTAACGCTCTAAGTAAGAAACCAGAATATCTTGTAAATAAAACTCATGAATCCTACACCGTACTACGGAAGGATAGTGATTCGCTAATAGTTAATTACTGATAGCTAGCCTTAATAGGCTAAGTCGCTAAGAAAATCTGGAGGGGCTATACTAACGACCTGGTTATA